ATGGAGGCATGGGCTACAGGATGTAACATATGTATTAAACTCGTCATATAGTAATACACTGAAAGTGCCTGGGATTGCTCTATGGCACGTCAAAAGATTTAGAGCCCCATGACACTTGAGCATTCTGTAACGCACACGCTTTCATACATTAAGTCAGCCCATTAATTTGAAATGAGCCGGCAACGCATTTTAACGCATGCAAAAACAGACCTGCACTATTTATGGCATTGCAGCTCACTGCAACGCCTGCTGCTCGCTGTACTGCAGGTGCGTGTCCAACTTCTGTACAAGTGTGCTGCAGTCCCATTCTAAATGAACAGCACTGTGATGCAACGCACACTGTATTGTGTATTAATGCGTTATGCACAGATGCATAACGCATTAATACACAATACTTGTGTACTGATAAGATGCTACACCCAATACAATAACCACCGCACAATGGGAATACCTTGACACATCCTTGTAATCTGAATGGGTATCACATGATGTCAGTTCGTGAACTCTGACCGCACTAGAAAAATCGGTTTAAAACTAAGCGTTGCAGCTACGGAATCCAGTACTCATTGGGGGATATTTATCATAGGAATTGCGAGTGTTGGAACTGGCATATGGTGGCATGGGATATATTTGCGTCAGATTTATGTTGCTAGTGTAATGTTGTTCATAAGTGAGATTCAATAGACTTCAGGAAAGAAGACTCGCAACTCCAGGTAAAAAGCGTAACTGTCGCTTCTTGAAGAAGTGGTCACGGGGACTTCTTAAGTTGCGATTGTTTCATTAGGTGATGCTCCAGTTTCAGACAGCCACAGGACAAGTGCAGATGTAAACAGTTGCGAACTTTCGCAAAACACGCGTGATTGGGAAAATAGCGCAAGCTCTGGTCAAAATGGACGCACATCTTAAAAAGAGCAGCTACACAAATTTGCAAATTAAAAAAATTAAAATGTTGAGGCTAAAACTGTCGCAATTGATTTGATAAATTCCCCCCATTGTGTATCAGTGTGCAGATTGTATTTTAAAAGTAAATAAACTTTGATTGCTACAATACTTCTAGTTTATAAATACACAGTATAACAAAGACCATTATTGATACAAACAAATAACAATATTGTTGCAAAACATCCGGCACAAGAAAATAAAAAGTCTGACCATTGCTTAAATCACAACACAAATGTTACACACATCAACGCAACAAAACCCCAAGCAAAGCGCGGTCAATGATGCTCCATCAATCAGATGATGCAGGAAATCCCCCGTCGTTTTCACAGATCAGCCCCAATACAATAGTTTTCACGTGCAGCACAACAATTGGGCCTGAAGTAACACAAAGTTTGGCACTTACCCTGAGGCACAGCTCTTCCCACTGCCTGTGCAAAGCTTCGACTTGCTTCTTGAGCACCACGCCATCCTCTGCTATGATATACTGCGATAATTCCGCCTTCATGTTATCCAGCTCTTTCAAACTGTCCCCCCACTCATCCAGGGCTTCCTCCAGCTCCTGCATGGAAACACAAGAGACAATCCACACAGCTCAGCTCTGGCTATTTGCAAAACCTGTTTAATCTTGTGATTGGTCAGTGGGGGAGGGGGAGATAGGAAGGGGGCTGGGTGTTTATCCAAGCACAATCGCTGTGGGACAATGTGCTGCCTTCGCCAGTTGCTTGTACTTGCCATCTGATCCACAACCAAGGCCAAATGCAACAGGCTGCTGACTTCCCCCGGCACTGAAGGCGTTAATACAGAAGTTTCAGGTACACAACAATAGCAACAGATACTTAAAGGATCACAGCAATACCGCCTCAAGATCTGACAACAAACATCAACATTGTTAATGTTTTGCTTCTGTTTTGTTTGCAAACTTGATACATTTACAAATATAGGTGAAAAAGCAGCGCATTTAAGTTTAAATATGATTGCATTTTATTTTATATTTGTAATTTTATCAAGTTTGCAAACAAAACAGGAACAAAACTGAATGTTAAAAATGGTAAATTTTGTTTTCAAAAGTTGAGGAAGTGTTACTGTGATCCCATTAAGCATCTGCTGCTATTGTTATGTAGCTGAGACTTCTGTATGCACGTAAAATATAGTTTTAAAAACAGGGAGCTAAATTTACAAACTCACAATGGAAAAATAACAAATACCAAGTTATATAAAAGCAGAATCCGATTTTCTTAGTTTGTTATTCCTAATCAACATTAAAGAACTAATCACATAGCCAATCCCCGCCATCAATTTATAAAAATAATAATAATGAGCTCTTTAGATCACTATAATCTGGCTCAATTCACAGTGTAACATACTACATAAGGGTTTATTCTGAGGAGTGAAAGGCGTGCTGTGTTCAAATGTGGCCAAGTGCCACATCTGGATGCAGCAGTACTCTGTGCCATGGCCACATACAAACTGGACAATTAGCTGAAATGTTTTTAACTGTTCCTAAACCTCGGATTGGCAGCACAATGTACAACACACTATAGCTGGCCATACACTCTGCGATTTTCATTCGGGAATTTTCGCTGCTGCCAAGAAACCTCTTTCGTTTAGCTAAAATAGCCCATCATGCACAGACCAATGGCGATTTTGATAATCGTTCGTTAGCAATACTAACCCCCCGAATTTCGTTGATCTACAGAACAGATTGTCATTTGCGCATGTGCAGTGTACATGTTGCAATTTCTTTTCATACGAAAACACCACTAATTCTTTGATTTTCTTACGATTCGTAAAAATATTTTTTTCCAGTCTGACTGATCGAGGTAATTCGGCCAGGAGTTCAGTAAAAAAAAACAAAAAACATTGGGTTCCCATCAATTGTTCGAAAGACCATTCGTGGATGATAATTGATAGGTGTATGGGCACCTTAAGAGGTTCATTTATAAAAGTCCTGCCCAGCCATGTGGCAGGCAGATGCCATTCCCATGGCACTAACACCCCTAGATTGCATTGGCAAGTATAGGAATTTCCTACACTCGTCAGCGCCATCTAAGGGCGCCATCTAAACGGCAAAGCTCGGCGGAACTTTTTATAAATGAACCCCTATGTGATTGGTGCAAGGAGTGTTTAAATATGTCACATAACTGTTGAAACAGTTTATAGTTAACTCTATAGCAGGGGTGCCCACAATTTTGTGTTAGGATCTACTTTCAAATGACGAGCTACATGAGATCTACCAACGAAAAAAAAACTTCCCTTGCTCTCTCTCTCCTGGCTGTCTCTCCTCACTTTCTTGGCTGTCTCTCCTTGCTCTCTCTCCTGGCTGTCTCTCCTCTCTCTCTCTTTCCTGGCTGTCATTCCTCGTTTTCTCTCCTTGCTCTCTCCCCTGGCTGTCTCAGCAGACTCAGGCTAATAGGTAATCATGTATGCAAAGCTAAATAAATATTCTTAACATTCAACAAGCTTTAATGCAAGTAGTGCAAACCCACACTGTTCCACATCGCTCACTGCCAGACCCTCTCCTCTGATGGTTTCTCCCTAATGGGGGCTTAGGCATAAAGTTGGCAATAGAGGCTTCATAACTGAGACCCTGCTGGGGAGAAAAGCATTGAAGGAGTAGGAGAAAGTCTGACAGTGAGCGATGTGCCATAGTCTGGCTTTAAGAGTTTGCAGTACTTGCAATAAAGCCTGATGGAATTTAATAGATGAACAGCAGAAGGGTGGGCTGTTTGTATCTAAACAATTTTCCTTTGTGCTACCCCCAGAGCATTCAGGACACAAGGGTAATAAGGTCACCATTACACCAAGGTCCACTTTATCGATCTATCTTTTATTGACATTCACAAGCTAATGCAACCTTACGGAACCACATGCAGTCCACTGTTTTGCCTGATGAAGGAACTGCATGCTGTTCCGTAACATTACGTTTATGGCGCCATCCTTTAGCCATTTCAGCACCCAGTAAAGCTATACATTGGGACATGTCAGTTTGGAGTGGGATAGGATACCTCTAATGCAAGGCACAAAGGTGACATACCTTAAGGGTTAGCCTAAATCTTTGCAGATCCTCGTGGATTGTCGGTAGTGGTTCATCTACTCTCGCTTTTAGGCCATGAAGAGATTTCCTTCTTTCCTCCACTTTCCTTTCAAAATGCTTTCTCTTCTAAAAAAACAACAAAAAACAAACAAATAAATATTAAAATTAAAGGGTATGTCAGATCATAACGGAAAGCAAGGAAGCTTCCGGCAAAGACAATAGATATTCTGATGACATAAAGCACAGTAAAATGGAATTGAATCTTATATGATTGGAAGGAAGGTGTAGTAGTGAGGTGTGCTATAAATAAAAACATTTACTTCCTTAATAAAAAGAATGCCACGAAACCTGGTCTGCATCCAAAATGACGGCATATCATAACCCAAACACAATAATGAGGAAAAAAATAATATTCTTTACTGGGGCTCCAGAATTAAAAACAATAGGGGCTTTATGTGGCCACCATGTTTTAGCTGGAACAAGCATGGAACCAGTAAAGTCTTAACGCCCATACTGTAAGCGTGCTTCAATAGGATTAAATCTGCATCAATGATTCTGCCTCTATAAACCAATGCAAGTCCACCACTCTTTTTATCCCAGGACTTGAAGCCCTGATGAAGGGGAAATGTTGTAGCATCTAAAATGTTGCCACCTATCTATGATGAAACAGATACTCTCAGAATTCCAAACTCTTTTGTTTTCCCTATATTTTCCTGCTTGTATAAGGAGGCTGCCTAACCAGAGTCATTGTATTCTACATTGTGGACTTCTCTTCACACCTAAAAAGAAAAATGGAAGCAAGCCTGAATCCAGTGCCTCCCACCCACAGGATGACAGCCCTGGATCCTAGACCTTTTAAGGAAGTCAGCAATGGCAGCTGCAAGATGTCTATCCAGGTAGGCCTTCTTCAAAGCAAACCTGCTTAGTGAAACTTGGGAGACTGCCACTGCTGATTTCTGCCGCTATCCTAAAATGAAAAGAAAATTCAACTATAACATGTCCCGAACATTTAACCCTCACCTACCTGAACACTCAAGTAGAACTAATAACGTTCTACTCAACAAATTCAACTTCAAAAAGATTATGTGAGACAAAACTGAGAAAATGAAATGTGTGTTATAAATAATAGGATGTCTTGACATGCTCATCCAGGTCTCATTAATGAGATCAGAATTGCCACTTACCAGAGCCGTGTCTCTAAAGTGGGTGAGCACAGCCTGTAACTGCAGCGTTGTGTTCTGCCACAAGTCTTGAAGTTGAGTCATATCACACTGCAGGGCTTCCTTGGTCTCTGGCTCAGCTACAGCTAGCAAATCTTTACCATTTTCTACCATTGTGTTGTAAATGGGCTGCAGCCTCTCGAGATGACGTTCCTTCTCCTGTTCAGTAAAGTATAAAATGAGATTCAGTATAGGCAACACTTTGAAGGAAAAGTTTAGTGAGCGTTTCAGATACATACCAAGTAACTTTAGTATTATTTAAAGTGGATTTAATTCTAAAAACAAAAATGCAGCTTCCCATTCCCATTGTGGTGGTTGCATTCATTATCTTTTTTTTCAGACTTTCCTTTATTTTCTCCTGGTGACCCAGCCATTAACAATTCCTAGGCTGATGCTCACTCACTGTACTATATCTATGGAGGAGCAGCATTGTCAATATAGGATAGAATGTGTGCTGGGACTACAGAACACCCCCTCTTCATTTCCACAACATAAAGGAGAGGTAATCTGTAGTTTACTAAGTGAACTGGGCAGTGCTGATAACACTGCTTTGTACTTTAGTGCAGCAGAGTACATAGGAAGGTAAAGGCAATAATATATATATTTATTATGATTCCATTTCTAATATATATACACACACACATGTATGTATGTATGTATGTATGTATGCATGTATATATATATATATATATATACATTATTTCTTACTTGCAGTGTTTTTCCTTTCCATAAATTATTTTGTTTCACTTGCAATCTGCCTTTCAACTTGCTAGAAAATTTGACCAATCCAGGAAGAGTCAATTCCCTAGCACAGCCCTCAACCTCTTTGCAAATCATAGCTACTTTCTCTTCTGGGAGTGCCTAGCTACTTGAGTGACAGTTTTGAGTCTGCTGTGGCTGCTGAAATCACATCCAAGATAGAGGAGCCCAGCAGAAGCCTCGGGCTTTTGCATGGCCACACAAGGGAGGCTTTTACATGTAAATAACATGCAATCACCATGTTAAATGCACATACTGTATAATCTTATGGGAAGATTGTTGGTAAAATGAATGGTCTGGCGACAGGGACTCTTTAAAGGCCTTTTTTAATGGCTGATATAAGGAATAACTAATTGACTAACTTTGTGATTTTGGCAAATAATTTCCTGCTCCAGTGATGATTTAACTGTGTCATATTATAGGGAGAATGTATGCTTATGCAGTCAGTTATTCTGGGTTTTTCATTGTGATATGTTTATATTTGACATAAAAGAATCTACTTCTAATGACCAATGTACAGTATATAACACCCCCCCCCCAAAAAAATAATAATTTATGATTCAATGTTCCATGACAATAGTACTTGACATCTTCCAAGGGGGTGAGGTATTTAAATAATCTTTGAAAAGACTATAGCTTTGCTTTAACAAGCAATTCATTTAATTTATTAATAAATAAGAAAATGGCCATATAAATTGGCACAAGAATTTATAAATAAAATTTTTGTAAAAACATTACTACATAATAACATTCCCGGTACACACTCACCTTAAAATCGTAAAGAAGTTTTTCAGCATTAATTAGGCTGTGGCATTTCTGTGGACTGACACTAGAAAGAGCAGCCTGCACCCCACTCAAGTTCTTTCCAAGTCTTTGCTTAGCAGCCCTGAACTGCCACCACTGTTTCAAAAGAACGGTGATCTCCCGGTTCCTCTGCTGCACCAGGCCTATTACACTCTGCCACTTCTCCTTCAAGGATGTCAGCTTTAAAATGACCTCCCCTCTGCAGAAATAAGATGCAGTTGACACATTACATTACACAGCTGTGGAGATATGAATATTATGGATAGACCTGCCAGCCTACAGAGAATGTCCTAATGTTGTACATGGATGGTGCCTTGGAGTTATACTGCTGCATACCGGAGGATTGGACACTAGCAAACAAAAACACTATTCCATCTACTACCAGCATGCCTTAGTTTTGTAAAAAGATTTACCGCGAGTACAAAAAATTTGAAGGACACAGCCGAATCTTCATTTAACAAAAGGGACATCCCAAAGCAGTGAGAACCGAGGGGTGGGAAACCGAAATAAAACAAGAAAAAAAATTATCCCCAGCAAGGAGCTAGGTCCTTCCTCCTCAACGCTAGGCAAAAAAAATTAGCTGCCTCTAACAAGGGCTGTGCTTTCCAGTTTTATGACTAGCGTCCTACTGCTGCAGGTGGCAATATAACCCTTCTGTTAAATTAAGACTCGGCTGTTTCCTTCAATGAACAGAAAAGAAAAACTATTTTATTTCTCATCCATTAAGGGACACAAATAGTTTTAAATCTTTGGGATGATATCCAAAATTAGTCTAGCTGAGGGGTGCAATTTCTTTGCTAGATAAGACTACCAGTTCAGACACTTGGCCCGCAGAAGTGACAGCAACAAGGGAAGTAACTTTGTCGGTGAGAGTAGCGAGATTATTACTTCTGATGTGTTCAAACAGAAATGGTTTGAGAAAGTAAAATCATGCTCAGAATAGGGTGCAGAGTAGGATCCGCAAGGGTGAACAAAGTACTGAAAAGGGCCCCCAAACGCTTATCAGTTAAGGCAAGACACAGTTAGATCCACAGTGGGAACACATCACTTTTAAACAACATCTGTACCAAAGGGACTAGCAAATGCAGAGGATACATTATCAAACTAATGACATTGCCCTCGTTACCTGCACAATTATCTATTCTTATTTCAGCTCCATTCTGTTCTCTTAGCTCCCTCCTCAGTGGCTGTTCATGCACCTTCAAACCTCTCTATCAAAGGTCTGACCTGCCTCCTGTTTTATCAATCTGCACTCCTGTGATGCTACCAAGAAGCCAAATCATAAGACCAGCATGGTAAGGTAAACCGACTTCATATTCATTACAATATCACTCTTAAGAACAGTTTTGGCAGAGTATGGGTTAATTTCATATACTGCTCTTTAACAAATAAATCCACTGACCTGTTTTGTTCTTCCTCCGATTCCAAGACACTCAAAGCTTTGTTCACAAAGGAAGGTAAAATTTGTTCATTTATGGCTATTTCAGCTTGCATTTTCTGCAAAGCAAGATAAATCATTTATGGCATCCCTCGAAATATTCATAATCCCAACATAAACTTTTATCATCTATTTTTGCAAAGAACTATAAAACAGAAGTGTAGACGGAGTTTGACATAATAAACATAAAACTGAGCTAATCTTGGACACACAATTCTTCAGATGATGTTGGACAGGTTACGATTTATGAAAATGGAGAAGAGTGAAAGACAAGCTCCCGTATGACAGGAGGAGAGAGACGTAAGACAATTAAATCTCATCCAAACAATGTTTCAGTATTGGGAAGAAATCTTAGTCAGCAAACATCTGTTTTACATAAACAGAGCTGAACCAAAAATAAAGTGTTTCTGATCTGAAGCAGAGGCCCCTTTTGCTAATTTGCTGCCCCTTTAAGACAATTTAAAGCTGAACTCCAGGCAGGCATAAAAGCCAAGCCAGCTCTATAGTCATGAATGCATCAATGTACTTGCATTGTAATTACTTTCATTTGAGTGTAAGTACCTTCACTTGACTTGGTATGAGCCTCTAGTCCCCTGTACAGCAGGTCTGAGAGAGGAGGAGGGAGAAGCAGCACAAGAAATGAATCAGGTGAATTGCAGTGCATGGAGCATGCTGTTAGAAGGAGAGAGAAGAGTGACAGAGAGATGAGCACATCAGTGTGCTCCTTCTCCTTTCAATGTCCATTCACAGAGTAGATGGTGGGAAAAGACCTGTAAGTGAAAGTGAAACTGTGGCAGAAAAAGAATCAGATCCCCCTCTACTGCCAGGCAAGATTGTGCTTTGTGGCAGAACTGTATGAATCTGATTACTTGATTGACAGCAATTCCAAATTTTGCATTTATAAAAGAGCCGCTATATATATACAGCATGCATATCATTTGTGTGTTTAGCATTTTTCCTGGAGTTCAGCTTTAAAAAGAAATGAGTAGACTATAAAAAGAAATGACTATTCTTTAAAAAGAATAAATACGGAAGCTTCGACCACTGACCTTATCTTCTGAAAAGCTATGTGCCCGGCTGTCATGCTGATCTTGTGGCTTCACTAGTTTGCCTGAATCACTGACCCAGAAGCATGAAGATTAGGACTTTATTTGATGAATACTCATCAGAAAGTGCCAACACAGCCGAGCATCTAGCACAGGGGTAGGAACCTTTGCACTCCAGTGGTTGCAGAACAATGAGTCCCATGACGAATGTAGGACAGCCATAGGCATGGCTCCCAGAGCCAGAGTCATGATGGAATTTGCAGTTTCACCACAGCTAGAGCGTTGAGGTTGCATACCCCTGAACTAGCATTTCCAGAATGTCAGCCAAAGGAGCTTATATATTTATCCCAGCAGTGGCCATGTAAAAGACCCATCTTAACTCTGCTTCTTAGTTCATTTTTATCAACACCAGAAATTGGCATTACACAAGTCTCCACGTCACATGGTATTAGACAGGTAGTAATAACAAAATGTTGATAATGCACTTATTACCATTTATATTTACAGCAGAGGGATCTCATGTTGGGGAAATGGCCAGAACCCCATGCAGGAATGGACAAGCTTTTCCTTATCACAAATATCCCCAATCCTTGTACTGAGGATTTGGTCCTGGTGCAGTCTGGCGCCTACTGTATGAATATACACCAATCAGCCATAACATTCTGACCACTCACCTAATATTATGTAGGTCCCCTTTTGCCACCAAAACAGCCCTGGCCCATCGAGACAGACTCCACTAGACCTCTGAAGGTATGGTGTGGTATTTGGCACCAAACTATTAGTAGCAGATGCTTTAAGTCCCTTAAGCTGCAAGGTGGGGCCTCCATGGATTGGACTTGTTTTCCAGCACATGCCACAGATGCTCAATTGGATTGAGACCTGGAAAATTCGGAGGCTACGCAGCCCCATATGCAAGATAGTGCGATGCACTGTGTGTTCAGTCATCTTTCTATTGAAAAAAACATTCATTTTTTTTAGCAATTTGAGCTACAGTAGCTTTTCTTTTGGATCAGACTACACTGGCCAGCCTTCGCTCCCCACGTGAACCACCTTGGCTGTTCATGACTCTGCTGCCGGTTCACTGGTTTTCCTTCCCCTGACCACTTTTGGTAGCTCCTGACCACTGCAGACTAGGAACATCCCACAAGAGCTGCAGTTTTGAAGTTGCTCTGGTCCAGTCATCTAGCCATCACAATTTGGCCCTCTTCAGAGTTGCTCAAATCCTTATGTTTTCCTATTGTTTCGCTTTCAACACGTCAACTTTGGGGGCAAAATGTTCACTTGCTGCCTAATATATCCCACCCACTTCCAGGTGCCATTGTAATGAGATAATCAATGTTATGGCTGATTGATGTAGATCTGATACAAATCAGCACATGGCAGCACCTTCATCCATAAATGTACTGTTAGCTAAGGTGGTACTAAGTAAATAAGGGGCTAAATCCCTGTAACATGTGCATGGTCTTCCATGGAATAGTTCCGTCATTAGTCTACCGCATCGGCATTGGGAAGCTCATACCTCATACATCGCCTGTTGTATCTTCAGCGCTTCAAATGTTCCTGCAATTCCCACGGTCAGATTGTTCTCCATCTTCTCTACACACTGCATCCAGGTTTCATAATTCTGAATGAATGTATTTCTGTCCAGTTCACGCACCCGATGTTCCCTGGATGAATACATTGTTACTGTCAACAGACTATTCACAGTTTAGATTAAAGCTAAAAAGCAGAAAAAAACCCCACAAAATGCATCTATGATGAATGGCACTTGCAGTTATCACAAGGGTCAGTTCCTTCTCATCTTCAATAAAGCCAGGCTGAGCTTTGAGGGAACCAGTCACAGCCCTGAACCTTACTAACCGAGCAGCTCCGTGGCACAAGGAAAAGATGATGACTTTGTATTGTTAGTAAGGCTAGGGGGCTGTGACAGGTTCCCTTTAATTCGGCTGAACTGCAAAGGAAGAAACAACACCTTAAAGCACGACTCTACCCCTACTTTACACTGCCCAACTCTCTGCTGTCATTTATAATCGATATTTCTCCCATAGCTTGAGCTACAGTGCGCAGGAGTATCTACCATCTCCATAGAGATGAATGGGAAAGTTGAGTTAGGGTATTTTTTTTAAACTTCAGACCAAAATTAGCAACAAATTAAACAAATGAGGTTTGTTAGGTGCCAAAAGTTCTTATATCTAAAAATGTATACTCTATTGTATAGTAATATTTAATAACGATATAAAACCATCATATAAAAAGTATATACAGTATATGAATATAGCACCATCACAATTTCATATTAACACATTTTAATGTGAACCAAAAATGCCCCTATTGGCCACAGTTTGTAAAATAATATGGAAACCAAGGCCAAAGGGGGCATGTATGTTAAAATTAGTTAATATAAAACGTAAAACATATCGGCCGAAAATGGCACTTTTGGGAAAATGCCGAAAGTGCAATTTTTTGGCCAAAATAGCGGTGCATCAGTGCTTTCTCTCCTCCCCGCTGGGCACTGCTCTGTGTCCCAGTGGGGAGGAGAGAAACTGTCACAGGAGGCCAGTGGTGCGGTAGGAGAGCACTGTGAGCAGCCGGCGTCTCTCCTTTCCGCACCGCTCAGCCTCGAGTGACAGATCAGGAGAGTGGCAGTGTGTGGGCGGAGACAGCTCTCAATGGCTGGCCGGTGGTGCGGGGGAGGAGTCAGCTGTCGGATCGAGATCTCCGCCTTGCTCGCTCAGCCTCCTGTGACAGCGAGTCAGGATGGAGAGCGGTACAAGCAGTCAGTGATCACTGAGTGTTTGTAAATAATAGAGGATGGAGAATGTTTAATGTGTCCTCAATTATGAATGAACGGGAAGTGATCTACATCACTTCCTGTTCATTCATGATTGTGGATATAGTAAACACACTATGTCCACAAGTTATGAATGACCAGGAACACTCAGTATAGAGAATTCCTGTTCCTTTATAGCAGGAGCTGCAGAAAAAGAGATTGAGGACTCTGTGTTCTCAATCTCTCTTTCTATTTTAAAAGGGGAAATATCAGGGGTCTGTTTAGACCCCTAATATTTCCCTGAAGCCCCTAAAAGTAAACTAAAAAATAAAAATATTTAATAAAAATAAAATATTTGAAAAAGATTGGTACAATGGGTACTGCAGACTAGTACTGTTTTTATCAAATAAGCGTAGGCGTGTGCAAAACATGATTCCGAATTCCATAAACACTAAAGACCGGACAATTGACATGAAAATCTGCTTTGTAATTGACTAACGCAAAGCAAAACCGGTCCTCGCAGCAGAGCTTGTACCAAGGGATACGTTTCCTATAATCACAACGTTTTAGTGGGTTGTGAATCACATATTCCAGATTGTTATTTTGCAGTGTGGGTCATTTAGGGGAATTAAAACATTGATATAAACATTCAAGCAATGCTGAAGTAGTCTGGGCAATTATGGTGACTCATACAGCAAAAGTTGTTTCAGGAACCCCCATTTTCACAAGATAGGGAAGAGTGAGCCATAAAAAACAAATCATACTGTCTAAGCCTCAAGGAAAAGGACCTTCGTGTTCAAAGAGCTATTCCAGGATACAAGTGAAAACCAATCAGCAAGCAATAAAGAGGAAATACGAATACAAAGGTGTTGGGTTTTTTTAGCGCCAACTTCCTGGTAACATCATTTTATTACCCTTTTCTCAGTTACTTCTCCACTTCCTGTTACTGAGTGACAATTCTGTTAGTTCTGCAGTGAAATTGCACAACAACGTCACCATGTGGACAGGGTACTGTTAGGTGGTTTTTTAAAGAGACTGTAAAACTAATGGAAAAAATGCTAAAAGCATGTTTTTATAATAAAACTTTTTTTTATCCTAAAATGTGCACACATATAGGTAGGGAATTTGTCCACTTCAAGATTTATCAATTCCCTGACTTAGTCACAACTCCTGCTCCCTTCATTGACATCAAACCTTTCTACTGCAGCTTTAGGCGTGACCTTGCGAGAGCTGGTCTGACAGCCTGTACACAGTGCGGGAGCACATGGATCCTCATTCAAACAGTAAATCACATGAAAAAAAGATGGTGAACAAATCCACCCATGGCTGCTTCTCAAGGAGCCAGAAGATTAGGAGATGAGGATTCACTGGCTCCTTCTGACTTAAAGCAGAAAAAAAGTCTCTTCTGCCCATAAAATTCTTCCTCTCTCCCCCAGCAATGTTTTACTTTCTGAGTACACTGTATGGCACATACTGTTCACCATGCAGTGTACACACTAAGGCCATTCACAGCATCTCTAACATGCCGTGAATGGGCTGGCTTCTGGGGAGGATGTAACTCCTGTGCGCATGCGCAGAAATGAAATCATGAGTGTCCACCTCATGTCCGAAGAGGACATCTGAGAACCTGGAGACAAAGCTGATGTCTGAAGATCTGGAGGTACTCGTAGAATACTTGCACATTAAGGCAAAACCAGAAACATTTCGGAGCAGTTTACTTTTGCTTGCTCTGAAGTGCTTTGTCTGACTTTTTTCTTTTTTAACTGCGGTCACTGGTCATGTGACTGCAATCATGGCCACAGACACTACCTCCACCGGGAGTTCCATTCCCAAGTCAAAATTGCACATGTGTATGTGTGAGATCACGCAGCATCTTCAGGGAGTTCAAAATACATCTTCTGCTTGGCGCCACTGACGTCCTAAGAAACATGGTGGTGCCCAGCATTAATCACCTGCAAGTTGGCGCACAGCAAAAGGAGGATTCTGGGACCACTGAGGATAACCAAGACAAGGTATGGTACTAACACATAATATCTAACCCCATGTCATTGGCAAACTACATTGGATATATCATTTTTTATTTTGCCCACTTTAACTCTGTCCAACAACAATGGGTTATATGGCACTGACCTGCAATCTTCGAGCGCCATTTCTCCTGTTTTCTCCCAGCTGCGGTTCAAATTCTGCAGGGACATTAAACTGCGGTCATCGAGAGGAAGGGTGAAGCTTTCCTCGTTCAAACGTTCAATGTCAGCCGACAGTTCTCTGAGCTCCAGCAGATGCTTCTGTACAGAGATGACGCTTGTTACCCATTTTTATACGTTGAAAATCAAGAATGACCTACACACTTCAAATTACATCCGGATCTCTCAATTATACCTTAATAAGTTCAGAACGTTCTTCCTTCTCCGTCTGTGACAAGCAAACATGGCCGACAAAATCAGCTGATGACTTAACGCACAACTGCAGCTTTTCTAGATCGTTCTTGAAGACCTCAACCTCATTCTGGATTAACTAGAAAAACATATTTAGAGAGGAAATCATGTAAGAAGTACATTGAGTTATAAAGAACACTACTACTGGTAAAACGTTTTCTTGGTGTGTAACCAGTTCTTGGTTTTATCAGTGAATCCTATGCTACATAGCTGCTGGACACCAGCTGCAAGATATCTCCACCAGACGTTCATTTCCACCCAACTATGATGGCCATTACTGATGGCCATGACAACTATGGATTGTTCATAATAATAAACAAATGATTGGGTAGTCTAGGTGAGGTAGAGAGAACCATCATTATGACCAAGTGGGAGGGCTAGAGACACAAACTATTACAAAGAAAGCAGTATAAAGAGAGACATACAAAGCCAATGGGTGATTCATATTCATGGTGCCAACCCACAACTGAAATATCACTTTTAATCCAGGTAAGTATGACTCCAGAAATAACAGGGGATCCTAGGGAGTCCCAAAAGTTTAGTGAAACAATTTTCTAACAACAAATGCAAAAATCTGGTTATGGGATTCAGAATAAATCCAAACTGAGCTTTTAAAGAAGTGATATGTGGTAGATCCCCACGCATATTAAAAGGCAATATATTGCATGTTCCTTTTTTGAATAAACATGTAAAAAAGATGAGTTTGATACAAATAATCTTAGCAATATACAAAAACATGTAAAATGCCTTGTTTATTTATATAATTGTTCTCGTATAAAATGGTGTGTGTGTGTTGGGGAGGGTGAGCTATCTCACACATGCAGTCTCTGCTTTCTCTGCTACCTGAAAGTGGTTGTGTTCCCTTTCACAATGAAAGTCTATGAGCCAGCCAACTCTCTAGAAAAACAATGCATTCCCTGTGCAGCTGAAGTCTTATCATAATAAGCTTTAAACAAAAGCATATCTATTCCTATATTGAATTGAATATTGAATCTAGAAGTTTGTAAACTTACTTATTGAGGATGCCCATAGGAGGTACTTCCTCAATGCACTTACACCATCTCATTCAGCCTTGTGTAAATGCACTTGCTTTTGTCACCACTATAACTAAGCCTGCCCTATGTGCTACAACTCAACTTCTGAACAATATAATTGCCTGCTGGCAGCAATGCATGATTGGATATGTAGTTTTGAGAAATGGAGATTGCATCACATCATGCAGATTGTAAAGAGATGCAAAGCACACTGGGTATCCAGGAAGGTGTTGGAAGTGATGGGTAGACAGAAGGCAGTACTCACTACATAAAAGGGACTTTTTTCAAGAAAGCTTTGATTGCATTATCAAAAACTATTGTATGTATTCCTATGATGATGCTGATATTATAACAGGGTAGTATATGCCAAGGGTAACCAAACTTTGGCCCTCCAGTAGTGGTGCAACTACAAATCTATTTATGCCTCTGCAATGCATTATGAAACTTATAGTTCCACAACAGCTGGAGGGCCGAGGTCTGGCTACCCCCGTATATGCTGTGACATTAGAACTCCTTTAACAGGACATATTTAGTCCAAAGAAACGCAGCACAATGCAGAGGAGGTCAAATGCAGCCTCTGAACGGCCATGTGTACTGCTCACTTAAAAACAATATTATTTTTGCTGACCGGGGTTTGAACTCCAATCGCACGTCAAACGCAGGAAAACAGCACCCGTGAGCATGAGCCCTTAAGGTAAACGCTGCAATAATAACTCAAATTATGGTTATTTCCTTTAAAAAAAACAAAAAACAACATTTCAGCTTAAACATCAGCTGCTTTGTGACTCTGCTACATCTTCCCTTCAACAGAAGTTTAATTGTGCAAACCATTTTCTTGCTTGCTTGGAAAGAAATTTCCTTTTGTATGATGGAATATTGCTTGCAGGTAGACTGCTCATTTTACAATTTTAAAGCCGAGCGCATTGTGGTAGAACGTTTACACCTACACATTTTCAAATGCTACTTATAAGTCATCAGAAAGTTAAAATGTATGTAAAGCCCAATGTTTAAGATGAAGGAGCGAAGTTATCGCATTTTTATTGTTATCATGCAGATATCCCACTGCACACCTGACCGATATGTCCCCTACTTCTCTTAGCGGGTGCTGTAGTAACTTGCGGATGGCTCTGCATGAACACAAGCAGAAGTTAAAGCCCATTTCCGCCTTTGTAAGTGAATAGCATTTATTGTGGTAATGTAGAGGTGCAGTGATGACGTATGTGTGTGCACATTTTTCCATGACTCACATTTCTGGCTTTTTCAGTTTTATGGACTTTTTTTAGTAGGCCTACAAAATGAAAAATTTCTCCACAGGAAACTCAGTCTGACACTAGGGTTGGATTGTAAAGCAGCTCCCTCCCTCCCTGCGAGTCACTGTAACAAGATCACTGCACACTAGCTCTGCCTTTCCAGATCATAATAGACCATCAAAGGGGAGGTTCCCACTATGAATACTAATGAATGTAAGGGGGAGAGCTCATAGAAAGAGAGTGTTCATTTACACAGACTGTTTGCAGAGCACAGAGACGGCCATTTCAAAAGGAGCCATAAGGAGAGGAAGAGGACATTTAACAAAAAAGTAAATTACTGTGTTCATATACAGCAACTGAATATGCCTGCTTCATGTACACTCGGTGTACATTGCTGGCATATGTTTTTCAAAAATACCTGTGCAAAGGTGGAGATGGGCTTTAAGTCTCCAGCACACCATTGCATCTTCATTAGAAAATGCCTCTATTGACGTTAAAATCATATCAAATATAGTATCAACGTTTTGAGACCTCGCAGGGTACCTTCAACAGGCACTTTTATTGCTGTCTGTGTTCCTGCTGGGGAGAGTCACTCTCTATATTTGTCCTGTGACCATTGTCAGCGGGAGAAAGTGGTGGGATAGTCAATCTTTTTAGTTGTCACTGGAGCAAGAAGAAAGGAAAAAACTTCCAGTTGCCACACTTGTTCCGTGACAACTGTCTACAAGAGGATTGCCCTTATTTTGGAGATATCTTCTCTTAGTCCCTGTTGTGTCTACAGGGCAGGACATAATGAAAAATCTTGCAAATGGGACAAAGACACTGAAAAAAAAACTGTCAGGGGTTTTAACCATTCCCTATACGTGTGATACCTTTTAGATCAAGAGGGGGGTAGGCAACCTTGGCACTTCAGCTGTACTGAAACTACAAATCCAATCATGCTTCTGCCTCTGGGAGTCATGCCTGTGGCTGTCAGAGTTTTGCAATGTGACTTAATGGGACTTGGAGTTTCACAGGAATTACAGTGCGGAGGTTGCCTACTCCTGCAATAGGACAATGACAGATGTATTTTGCATTTGGGTGTTTATAGCAAACCTGATCCAGTGCTGGAAGCACATACCAGACTCCTCCCAGGTGCCTTCAAATTAGGTCCTTCCTCATTCTAGGAAACCTCAATGCTCAGATTTCCCAGGTGTTCTACAAAATACTTCCTCACTGCCTATACTATTGAAAATTAAAGCTGCCCATCACAATAAGAAAAAAGTGGGACCTGGCCAGATGTGTGGTGACCACATAGGTGGCAAATGTGCTTTCTAACTATGGCACATGAATGATGAACCAATCATCTGTTGCTTAATGATCCTTGCCCCATATTCTTTATACTACCAGTATAGCGGTGGCACACCTAGCTCAATGCGTATGCAGCAGCACATTTATACATAAGGAGGATTCCTTCTTAAATACCTTCATCTCTGCTGTCTTGGATAAAACGCTTCTCTCCAAGTGATCGATTCTGTGCGAAGTGTTTTGTCTCTCAGAGTGGACCACATCGGCAGCTGCTGCATTTTGGCGAATCACTTTGTCTGCTAGTTCCGACACCTGCAAGTTGTGAGCTCGGAGGGCCTGCAGGCTTTGTTCCAACACCTATAAGCACCGGAAAAAAACGTCCATCATGTCTTATATACAGCAACATAACCCAAACACACTAAGATGTGAAGACAAGAAGAATGACAACAGTAATTCAGTAAGCATATGCATCCGAACAAAGAATATTCATACCGATAATGCTTGTGGTTCTAGACTAGAGATATGACAGACAGAGATGGACTGTGTTGCCATCAATGGCACATCAGACCAATGGCAACCACTTCCATTTGCAGGGTGGTTAGATATTAAGACATAACCGACCATTTTCTGGCACTTTTATCTCAAGCTGCACTAAATATGAAAGCCTGGCTTGCCTGTTGCTTCCAAGAATGGTCAATCAGAGGATGTCTGCCTGAACCATAGACATGCGTTCATCAAAACCAGGTGACTCATCTCATGTCTACAAGCATATTTAAGCCCAACTTCAGCTACATTTTTATAATTAAATCACCCTAGAACAGGAAGTGTGTTACTGACAAAATCACTAGGAGGGAAAAATGCCCGAAGAAAGAAGACTAATGAGGCCACCACATCTAAGGACACAAAAAAAGTTACCTTTGTAGTTGGCTACCCTCATGCTGCAAGGGCTGCTTTGCCTAGTGTGCTCAAATAAAGCTGTATTATTTCCCTGATCCTAAGGATCAGGTGAGTATATCTGCTTTATTTGAGCCCCGTAGACAAAATGAGCACTTAAGCCTTGAAGTGCAGGGGTAGTTTATTTCTTTACCTGGAGTTCTTTAAATGTTTGTTTTTGGGTTTAGCTAACCAACATGTTAGAGGGGGGAGAGAAAGAAAGAGAGAGAGAGCGAAAGAGAGAGAAGAAAAAGAAAGACAAGAAAAGAAAGAACGAAAGAAAGTGTGTAAGCGGGAGAAAGAGATCTGACTAGGTTTGCATTTGTCTATGTTAAGAATTCTCATTGTCAGTATTTCTTTTAAGGCTTACAAGTACAAAAACAGTAAAACTGTCAAAGCAAAAACATGACAACTAAAATAAACTGCATATATCTTAATGATAATTGTAGTCATTATCGTTCTATATTGTGACAACTTTGAAGTCATTGCTGTGCTGTTTAGTAACATATACCATCCTGGAAATCTTTATGTTTGTGATATCTTTTGAATTTATTTGTTATGTATTTGTTCCAATGAGTATGTACTGTTTGCACTTGCTAGCCCTAAATAAGGGAGGATTCTGTAACCGTTGAAATGTGTTGAATATTGATTTAAAATAGATTAAAAACAAAACACAAAACCGTTCAGCCATATCCCTGTTAGGGAGATTCCACCTCTCTATTTGTCTTGGAGTCTGTTATCACTAAAAGTGAAAGAAAGTCTTCCAATGAGGACACTAGTGCTGGTGACCACCAGGGATTTTCCTCACTTCCCGTTGCGGCTATCCGAGAGGAAGTGAAGGGAAATCACACCAATAAGACACAGAAGGCAGAAAAGAAAAGCAGTCAGAGATTTTAACCCTCACATCTATCAATCTATCCAATACTTAAAATAGATTTACTTCTACTTTAAAGGGTTAATTATAATTTTTAAGATTCATGTTTACTCTTTGAAATACGATGCATAACATATTACGTTATGAGTCTTTTTAGTCCTTTATGCGGTGTGCCAGTGTGTGATAATGTTATATATCTTATTGTCTTAATTGCTTCCTTTTGAAATGTTATTTATATATTACAGGTATTTATAATTTATGCAGCGCTTTATGTAGTTGCACATTCATATCAGTCCCTGCCGCCAAGGAGCTTACAATCTAAGGTCCCTATTGCACACCCATACAGGGCCAATTTAGAGAGGAGCCAATGAACCTACCAGCATATCTTTGGAGTGCGGGAGGAAACCGGAGTACCCAGAGGAAACCCACACAAGTACAGGGAGAACATGCAAACTCCTTGCAGATAAACCATTGCAAATGTTTTGTTTAATAGGTGCAAATGACATAATTCCTAGCTATTTGTGAGGACTACAGATCACTTCCCCCTATGTTACTATGTTATAGCGATGAGAAGCAGGGGAGGTGTTCTAGGGTGACAACGCTCCTCCTCCATAGATACAGAAAAGCAAGTAAATGTGGTCATCCTTAGACAGGAAGTGTGTTACTGGCAAGTAAAAATAAAGGAAAAGAAAATGAATGCAGCCACCACATCTAAGGACTGCTAAGCTCCAATATATTACATATTTGTTTTTGGCTTTAGATACACTGTAAGACAAATACATTAACACACTTGAAAATACTTTCAAGGCTTCAGAGAGATGGATACAGTTAATATATTTCTTTTGAACATTTGCCAATGTTTTTGTTTCGTGAAGCTATAGCACTATCCAGTGTAGAACAATATACTGCCGTCCAATTACATAGAAAGTTATCATTTTTTGATAAAGCTTGACATTTAAAAATGATGTTTAGGAGCAGTAAGCATTCACAGCGATTTCCATAGCGGGCCCGTGTGTCTTTTCAAGTCGGATTCATTTCCATCATGGGAATGGGAAGTCGTGCGACATCTGGGTATTACAGCTGTGAGTTCATTTCTGCGCCCGGAAGAGACGGCCACAAACGGCACGGGGGAGATTAGAAATGATGATTGAGGCTTTCACGAAAGTGAATGTCTGAGACTGCATTGACCTGGTCTAGATGTGCCAGCTGCCAAGCCTTCAGATTATAGAATAAACACAGGACTAGTCTGCGGCCAGAAAACCGTATACAGGTCAGCGGGAGCAGAAATTATATTGTACGGAATTTGTCATTTATATTTATTGGGCTCTTTTTAGCCATATCTGGAAATAAATCACACAAACACGTTTATATGTTAAGTGGTCGTTTTGGTCTAGGGGCTAAAATGAAGCAGTTATATTCCCCTGATCCTTAGTCCTGCCTGGCTGGTAGACCAGTCCGCTGCAGCCTCTTCTTCTCCTGCCTCCAACGGTCAATAGATCAGTCAGGGGCGTCCAGAGGCCGGGTGTCACCCGCAGCGGAGACCGAGTTACACCACACCGTGACGTCATTGTGCTTGCACGGCCATCTAATTGATGCCTGCCGGCAGCCAACTTCATGGTGGACGACGGCAGAGAGAGGAGGGGACGTTCACCCGGCGGGATGAGGTATACCGCCGGGTCCCCTCCTCTCTCCTGACACTGTCGGGCTCTCGGTCCATGACCGAGTACCTCTACTTTTTAGAGGGGGTGACAGAAAAATGATTGATAGTCATTTTGCTGTCACCCCTCAAATGGTGTCACCTGGGTTCGGGCCGCACGCCCCTTGTGACGCCACTGGGATCCATGATGTCATCATGTCTAATGCGGATCCATTAGACGTGAGGATACAGAAGGAGAGGGAGAGGGAGAGAGGTGAGTACTCAGTGCCGCCCGATTGAGGATTAGGTGAGTATAATTTTGTATTTTAGCCCCCTAGACCAAAACAAGCAGTTAACCCTTGAAGTGCGGGGGTAGCAGTGAGATGACAATGCTGCCTGTGCTGTACTGAAATTCCAAGCAGTGTTGTCAGCCCTGACCTAGTTCTCCTCTGCTGGGTTAGAGAACACCCCATCTCTTTATTTTCATAACATAAGTGCGTGTATAGGGAGGGGTTCTGTAGTTTAGCAGGGGAGAACTCGGGCAGGGCTGACCACACTGCTTAGGATTTCAGTGGAGCAAAGGCATCGTTGTCAGCTCCGTACAGTAAGATAGAAGCTCTCTGGATGTCTGGTAGCAACAACACACATTTTTCTGTGTTTGCTGCTTTTTAAAGAGACAAAACACGGGGAAATGTACATGCGTTGGAGAGATGTACTAATTTTTAATTTTTTCATTTTCCTAAACATTTGATGGGGCAAAAACAGACAAATTGTGGTGTAAAAAAAATAAATAAAGTACTTGTATTTTCTAAATACAAAATAAGCTGCCATGAACATATAAAGCCATGAACATGTAACAACTGCATAACTAGAAAGCCAAAGAAAGCCAGTAGTGAGCGTGTATGGTTGGGAGTATTTATCTGCCACTGATATGTGTTCTGGGATCCGGATGACTGCTTTGGCAAAAAAAAAAAAAATAATAGTAATAATATTCAATGATGTCCTGCAAAAATGTTTAAGTAGCACAATGTTAAGTAACATCAACCATTTGAAACATTGTTTGCAAATCTGCACATCTGCTGGTAATGTATTTTTGCAGTGGACCTGAATGTAAGAATGAAAATCTGCTATCTTATAGGGAACATGCAGAAATGTTGCCCTGAGAAACCTTTTGGCAGGAATCCATTCTGGAAAACAGCAGTGTGCTTACTGTGACTAGGCCCCCATGTGCCTTACAACTAATAGCTGTATATCTGCAGAGTGAGATTATCTAAGGCACCACTGCCTCTGGCTGCTAGTTTCACCAGATTTAAAGTGAGATTGGTCACTACTGCTCTGCTCATTGCTTTCCTTAATGGAGAGGAAGCTGTACCTGAGTGCCTGCAGTGTGGCGATCTCCCTGCTTCTGTTTCATTCATTTAATATTTGATCTATAATTCTTCAACCGTCTCTGCTTCTACCAAGATGGCTGCCTCAACACAGTACAGAGCAAGGCATGATAAAGCAGTTATGGGAAGAAGAGAGACTGCAGGCAGTACTGGTATCTATAACTCTGCCTCTGCACAAATTCCATAGCTTAGAACCTCTTTAACCTTCACTATAGATATTTTTGGGGCTAATACTAAAGCAATCAAGTTCCCATCACGGAATATCAAATATGTATTTTTAAGATTTATCCTGGCTGCAATTTTTCACCAATAAAAAATACAAAAACATATTAAAAATGTCTCTCCATATGGAGCTATAAACCTTAATCTTACCTGTAAATCCTGAATTCGCTGCTGCAGGCTGTCAGCCTGTCGGTCTTCAGAGAGTTTAGAATAGAGGAGCTGCTGACACTTGCCTTCTAGCTGCTCCATGTCCAGGGTGTGATTCTGGTAGGAGTCACTGTAGGCTTCCCACAATTGCAGCAAAAGGCCAGCTGACTGTAGATGACTAGAAAGCTCCTCATTCAGTGAAGTCCACCTGCCATTGCACAGTTTAAAAGTTGGGTTTGTAGCAAACACAATTCTAATTTGTGATAATATCCGACAACAAGAGCCATGGTAACACGCGAGTGAATAGGAAAAGCACAGAATACTTTTTCAGGAAACAAACATAATTATTTTTTTCGTTTATTCTATGTACTTAGGTGCACTAATCTTCACTTGACAGCCACCAGACACTGATTAACACAATATGTGTAGCTTTATAGGGTCAGTCTACCTAAAACTGGTATTTAAGCTATATGTCAAGCTGGGTGGGCTGAGTGAGCCCATGTCTTCCTTATTGTCTTGGTTATTCTTATTGCAACATCATGTTCATTCTGTGCTGGTCCATGTGGGAGTTTTGGTTGTTCCCATTCACCTTTCTGTGTTTCAGAAATTCCAGTCGCAGTATTCATAACTTGAAATGAATACAAAAACCAGAGAGAAGAATGGAAACCCCTAGTAATAGTCACATCAGGTGTGCAGACCCAGGAACTCAGTGCAGAGATCCTACAAACAGAGTGCTTGATAGAAACAAACTGTCAGGTGACTACAGAAAAGAAGCAGAATATCTATTTAGGTGCAACAAAGTCTATTAGGTAGTTGAAGAAACCAGGCAGCAGACACCTTCCAGGTGATGATCCTGAAAGGTGTGCCCCCTTTGGCATTCAAGGGGTTACAAAGAGTCCATGCAAAAGAATGTTCATCCGCAAGACCTGAGTACAGATGCCTATTTTTTGCATGGACTGTTGAAGAAACCAGGTAGTCTGCTTTACACATTAGCATACCAGTATGTAAGCTGTACGATCTGTGAGAGCATATTAAACTAGAAGGCATTAGGGAGCACTCACCTCCATACAGGAGGGACAATCCTTAAAGACAGGCAGACCTAATCAAGATTGATCTGCCTTTTGAGGTCTTTCATTCCGGTGTGGAGTTGACCGCTTGATTACTGGTTTAAAATACTGAAATATTAATTTTGGATGGGCTAGAAGCCTCAGACAGAGTTAGTTGGTCAGTCGCTCAATTTGTGCTGGACTGCCCATTACTTTAGCACTGCCAGCAGGCAGGGTAGCAGGAAATGAGGACTCTTCAACTGGTCTAGAAGGAACCTCATGTGGTTCTTGGTAACCCATAATTTCTTTATCCTTTACACTATAAGCAACACAATACAGTATAATTTAATATTACAGATGCAGTCTATATAATCAAATACTGACCTGTTTTCAACTTCTTTACAATCCTGTTCCAGAATGGCAAAGCCTGATGGGCTACAGAGACCTTCCATGTTTTTCAGAGCAGCTCTGATTTTTGACCAGTTTTTCTCATGTTGTTCAGTCTCCTCCTGAGCAGACTAAAGTAGAGAGAATACATTCTAAGCAATGGACTAACCCTTTAAAAGCACAACATTTCTTAAATCACAGGTACATCACATCGTTCAGTACAGAATATTTCCTATGCCTGAGCATTACTCACCTGATCTCATGACCTCATTACATACAGTATGTGATCAAGTGTTTCTTTGGGTGTATCCAGAAGCAGTGCAAAAAGCAATGCGGATGTACACACAGCACTGTAACCCACATCAAATATATCTTATTTCACATAAGACATGGAGGCCTACTCTGACTGCACTCGGGGATAATAGTTTCAGTGCTGCAGAATGCTCCATAAACTGGTATGATTGTCTCTGTCAAGTGTACAAGAGCCATCTCATAGGCATCCTTATGGCACCTTACTGTTCATCTTCTTTGCCACACAGCACAGAAAGCTTAGTGACCTCAAGTTTCTGAAGAGCAGCTAAGCAATGCAGATTGGTCACCTCACAACCCCTTCCCTGTTTATGGGCAATGAATAAGCAGCAGCAGACTGATGAGCCCCTCCATCTGCTCTGTTCCTCTTTCAGCATATTCTTACTTAGCACATGTGCATGCAGCAAATACGTATTGCCTTATAGTGCTTCCTCTACCTATTCCAGAGTGCTACTGCAGTAACACAAATGGCTGATATCAAGGCAGGCTCAGGTACGTATATTAATTGCAACTTAAGATTTTTAAAAGAATAGAACACTTCATTAAAGGCATTTTCATACAACTGCAAATTAGCCTTAAAGCAGCTGTATACTAGCTAAAATTATGGAACAGAATCATTATGATTAGTGAACCAAACCACAATGAATTCACAGCTTACTGTTAATTATGCTAGAAATGCAAATGTCCCAGGCATGGCGGACTCCCCTAATTTGCTGTGCTTTCCTGAAATAGGAGCTCCTTTCAATTGGAAAATATTGTACAACACCCTGTTGTCAGATGAGTGGATCACTGGACCACAAAGTGACCACATACCTATTTATGTATAAGGGATAGTACCTGCAGTATCTTCAGATGGTGCTTTAGACAGTCCAGGGATGATATGGGTCTTTTGGCTTGGCCAAGTTTATACAATAATTTGACCAACATCTTCTTTATATATTCATGGTTTTCATTGTACGTCTTCCAGTGTCTCAACAATGAGTGTATGGAGGTCTTCATATCCGCAACCTTTAAAGTCAAAACGTGAACAATTACACATTTATACAGCTCGGAATTTTAAAATAAAAAAAGAAGAGTCAGTGGGTGAGAGTGTGAGCTACAAACCCAATTCGATTACTATTACCATCAGTTTACCTGAAATTAACCAAAGCATTTGTGATAGTTTGGCATGTGTTCGGAACCATGCAGATGTAAACCTGGTAAGATTAACTCAACTGTTTAACATAAAACAAAATGAGTTACACTAGTCCTATATTTTTTTACCTAAAATGCATGTCAGGGCTAAAAGAAAAACATATTCAATATATCTCTGGATTACATGCACACTCCCCTATGTTTTATCCCTTTAATACATTTAAAAATAAATCTGCCAATGCAGTGAGCTCCTAACTTGCTGTTTGGCATGACAGGATTGCCAGCCCTGCCTGCTGAACTATGGAACTCCACCTGTCTCTGTGTCCCACTCCACATGTATACATTGATTTATTTTCCAGCAAAAAAAAATGGTGCCTTGACTCCAAATAATCTGCCCAGACACCGTGTTAATGAAAAGGGCTCTTAGGAGGCATAGATCTTGGTGGCGTGCCTACATTATGACAAAGTGACCTCCCAGCAGTTGCCACTGCATTCATTTTAAAACCCTGGTGTAAATATCAAAGGGAGTGGGGGAAAAAAGCTATTTCTCACAACAGTAACAAGGTCAAAGAAACAAATAATGCTTAGACATGACCTAGAGGCGGCTACAGAGGTTTGGGAGTAAATTAGGGTAAGGTCCAAAGAGATCATTAAAGCATATCCAAACCCTAACCATAAACATCTCTTTAAAACAAGAAAAACCTGCGCTTCTGGACCCAAACAAAAAACACGGAATATCCAGAAGCTGCTATAACTTAGGCAGTGAGCCTCAAATTCACCATAAACATCTCTTATTTGCACTCTTTTCCTCTGTTAAATATACAATTAAAAAGGTGTTTTGCCATATCTGTTGGAGAACTTTAGAAAATACCTGTTGATTTTGCCACATATATTGTAAGCTGATAACTTTGCAAGACTTTAAGTGTCATTAAATTAAATGATTGTACCACCAAGCATGTCCTACTTCTAATAATGTTGATAGCTAGGTGCCCAAGACTTTCCCATCCTGTTTTCCAAAAAGTGGTGTAAACCCAAAAAAGGCACAGGGCGTTCAAAGACTAACTAGATAATTCACTACATAAGAGCAGATCTGCTGGGTACATGGCTGCTTTCTGCCAAGAGGAACTACAGACCTGGCTGGAAAGTGCATCCCTCTTCTTCAGTAGGTTTTCTGACGTCAATACACCTTCCTGGAAAACACGGTTTTCCCCTGCTGGTGGTGCGCTCCTCTCCAATTCCTCAAGCACATTGGACTTGGCCTTGATTTGTTCTTCCAAGTCCTGCAGGCAAAGTGAATAGTTTAAAGGGATACTACTATTCAAATCAGGAAAGTTTATATTTCATTATACACAAAGCACAGAAGTAGCTCTACCATAGCGATCATCATTAAAAAACTGTATTTATTAATATATTTATCATCATTACAGCTACCAGCAGACAATATCACACCTTGTTTACTGGTCATATTTACTACTGGTACAGGTAATTACATAAATAAAGGGTGTGAACTAGGTCTACTGACACCATTTGAACAGCAGCAAATGAGATTTAATGCATCTGCCAAATCCTGATTTGCTGTCATGTTAATGCATATCACTGTTCTCCATATTTAGACTATATGATATCGCTGTTGGTTTCAAATAATCACATAAATATATGAGCATTGATATGCAGTCCAAGAGGCAGTACTTGAAATATTAGATACTCTTTCCATTCTATTCCAACAACTTCTTTGTAAGCATCATACAAGTGGCTACAGTCAAAGAGATGCTTTTTTTTTTTTGAGTGTTCTCATTCACATAGCATACCGACAAATATATATTTAAAAAAATATTTCTTATAGGGATGTACCAATACTGATACTAGTATCGATGCCGAGTACTTGGGTGAGTACTCGTACTCACCCAAATGCTCCGATACTTGAGCTTCCAGTATCAGGAAGCCGGGCAGCGAGTCATTACACGCTGCCCTGCTTCCTGATTGGGCGAGAAACCGGCTCAAATTTTCTCAAATTGTACTGCAAAAGTGGAAATATACTTTGAGGCAGCTATCAGACGGAGAATCTTCAAAACATTTGCAGACATTTCACCAGAAACAAGCTTATTGTTACATAAAACTTACTTTCGCCTAAACCTCCAACAATAACAAAGTATGTGTACTCTCTGAAAACAAGCCATAGCTTCCCTTTAACATTATCACCAGTCTTCATCAAGTTCAGAAAAGCAACAAACTTTTTATAGGTAAGGGTTCACATGGTTTATAAAAAAAAAAGTGATCAGACAATAACATTTTGATGACATTTATTTCCCAAACAACCAGTATTTTTCAGAAGGAACAAACTATCCACCGTAGGCCATTTTAAACAATTGCAGCCTTGTTTGGCCTCTGCTCAAGCTAAAGTAATCTTCTGCTTCTGCCTCAGGTCGGAGAGAGACTTTCATCAAGGGAGGATCTGGGCACCGAATGCTTACTTGCCCTTTTCACATTCAAAAAGTACACGAGAAAGTGCACAGCTCCAACCATCAATACTGTCTTTTAATTAAAGTGCACCTGTCACCTTCAGCCATTATGTGAGGCACCAATATTCAGGCCACATATTCCTGACAAACCTATACTGCTATGGCACAAGGCTTCCCTATTGCCCTACTGACAGCCTTAATAACCACTTCTAATATATAATTTTACAACCTCAATTCCAAAAAAGTTGGGGTGCTGTGTAAAATCTACATAAAAACAGAATGCACAGATTTGCAAAATCTCATAAACCTATATTTTATTCACAAATGTACCATTTTAAGAAAAGAATAAGGTCATTTTGAAATTGATGTAAAAGTTAACCCATAGTAAGTAATCTCCCCGAAGTAAAGGGAATTCCCACTTTGACAATTGTCAATGTCACTAGTGTCCCGGCTGGCTTCCCTTTTATTGTTCTTCCAGAACAAACTCATTCACAAGGCCATTCATGGCCGTGCACCGCACAGATCAGCATATTTCTCCAGTGGGTATGGTTAGGTGTTTCTGATTAGCTGCGCAAAGCAATATATAAAAATGACAATGACAAGCTACGAACATCGACAGCTGTTTGCATGTTACTGCTCAAGGAGCAAATATATGTGGCAGGGACGGATGAGTGGCTCTGTAATCATACTGCGTCCAGGTCCGCTCATCTGTCCATGAATGCAGGTATGCGCTCCATGCACAAATATGTGAGGATTCGGGGACTCTCAGCCTGTCATTGGTTTATACAAACTGAGCTGCTGCAGCGAAGCAAGAAAGCACCTGGCCATACCTGCTGCAGAAATGCGCTGATCTGGGTGGTGGACGGCCATGACAATGGTCACCAGGACAAATAGACTGAGTGAATATTTCCAGCACTAAAAACTTGACAAGGGTCGCGCTTTTTTTATCTTTACAAAACTAAAAGAAAAAAAAAGTTTTGACTTTTGAAATGCTGTTTTTTTTTGGCCTGCGCTTTCAGAAAATATATGGTTTGGGGGGTCTTTTACAAACGCTAGCAATGCAGCAGTTGAAAATCAAATCAATAGGAAAAAATTGCAGAAAATTCAAAAATGGCTTGGCCAGCTGATTTGAAAAATGTTCCGGAGGGCTTGGCAGCGAAAGGGTTAAAGGGACCTCAGTACATTCTTTATAATGTTAGAATAAATAGGATTTTACCATAAAATACTTTTCTCAGAGTTCATTGAGGGACACCGCTCTAAAGAACTCTGAGACATAGGGTTATGCTGCTGACTACAGGAGAAATCGACACTAGGAAAAAAAATTAAAAGCCCGCCACTTTAACCCCTTCCACCTCCCACCTGCCACCTGTCAGCTGTAGCAAGCAGTATGAAAGGAAATAATTGGAGGGAGCTGTGTCCCTCAATAGACTCCAAGAAATGGATTTTACGGTAAGAACAAAATTCTATTTTCTCTACCATTCATGGAACATACGGTAGCTCTGAAGAATTCTGAGACTTAGGGACAGAAAAAAACTCTTAACAGCCCGCATAACATCCAAACAATGCTGGGCTATTTCCTTAGGATGAACAGAAGCTGGACAAAGTGAAGGTAAAACAATGTATTCATGAAAATGGAAGGCTGAAAACACCTTGGGTAAAAAGGGAACCTGCAGTCTTAAAACAACCTTATGAAGAACCAAATAGGGTTCTCCACAAAACAAAGCAGACAACTCAGAAACCCTTCTTGCCAAGGTAATGAACACAAGAATGGCAACCTTTCTGAAAGAAAGAAATGACTCGGACAGGTTCAAAGGGATTTTTCTGTAGAACAGATAAAACCAAGTTCATACCGCCGAGAGAAGAGTAGAGCCAACAGGAGGAACCATATGTGGAACTCCTCGAATAAAAGTATTAATCAAGGAATTAGAAGCAAGAGGGCGTTGAAAAAGGACCGACAAGGTAGATATCTGATGTTCATGGTACTTAAAGCTAAATGTTTATATACCCCCCAAGTTGAAGGAAAGACAACATTTGCAATATAGATAAAATATGAGGGGAAAACCCCCAAGGACTCACACCAATGATAATAAACCTTCGACTTATGGTAATAAATCTTACGAATAGAAGACCAAGGATAATCATAGTCGGAATAACAAAATATGAAATTCAACACTTGAGTTTCAACAGCCAGGCCGTTAAAGCCAGTGACCGAAAAGCAGGGTGGAAGATTGGCCAGAGATAATAGATCTGGCCGATATGAAAGAAGCCAGGGATTGTCTGCCAAAAGATGAACCAAATAGGCATAACACACCCTGTGAAGCCAATCTGGAGTGACTAGAATGACTGGAAATGTATTTCTGTTCCATCCACTGAAGCAGATGTGGTAATAGCATCAGTGGAGGAAAGACATCCACCGCATCTGCTGTTCCATCCCTTGCTCTGGACACAAATCTGTCCACCTGCTTGTTGTGATGCGAGGCAAAGAAGATCCACATCTGGCGTTCCCCAGTGGTGACAAAATTGTTGAAACACCACTGGATGGAAAGTCCATTCCTCCGGATCCACACATTGTCTGCTGAGAAAGTCCGCCTGCAGGTTTTCTACTCCTGGAATGTGCGCCACTGAAATTATTATTATTATACAGGATTGATATAGCGCCAACAGTTTGCTCAGCGCTTTACACTATTTGGAAGATATTACAATCACAATACAATTCAAGACGGTAAGGAGGGCCCTGCCCCTGAGGGCTTACAATCTAAAATCACTGGAAGCTGAAGTTCTTCCCAATCCAAGATTAAATGTACTCCTGTCTTGGCCAACAGACTCCTGGTGCCTCCTTGGAGATTAAACTATAATAATAAACCAGAAGAGAAGAAGACATCCATTCTCCTAAGGACACTAAGCGAAATGGGCAGGTGGGAGGGGTTATGTCCTTAAAGTGGCAGGCTTCTCATTTTTTTTTTGCCTAGTGACCTTTTTCACCTGGAGGCAGCAGCATAACCCTTTTCTTATTGGTCACTTCAAGTTACATGCCATCTTCCAATTAATTTGCTATATATTATATTTAATATAGAAATTCTGTGATTACTAAATATTGCAAGCAAAAGTATTTCTCTCTAGGCACCCTCTGCACTCTACAAATATTTTCACACACACACACACCTTTTTCAAAAGTTCTATGGCTGGTCTAGGGACATCATGGGTCCTTTCTCCTCTCCTCCAGGCACGGATGGTCCTTACCAGTGCAATGAATGGTGCTTATGCAATGACACGTGAGCCCCGTGCAGCGCAGTAATATTCTGAGCCCAGGCTTTGTGGTGATGCCCTTCCAGGGGGCTGGTCCATGCATGACAATTTGGATTGGTTGAATGTTATTGGCTGTCATTCAACCCAGGAGACTTAGGATATCTTGTGGCAGAAAAGAAGTGCTGCAGTGGCAGCCCAAGATTGAAGGTGAATATTATTTTTCAGTTGTATGATTTGGCAATTCAGCTCATCTTTTTTGTTTTTTTGTTAGCGTTCGGCTATAAAGCGAACCGGTAAACAGAAATATGGCAGCTGCCACTAGTGACTTGAGGTGCATGTTTGTCATCCTAATCCCCACCTCGTTACTTAGTGAGTCACAAACATAGAGAAAGCATGCACGGTAGTAGTTTAGATGTTTTGGCTTTTATTAGCTGCACGCTTGCGTTGGTTTTATGACTCATAAGGCAATGAAGCCAGGATGAGGGTCAGGCACCAAAAAAAGTACACAAAATGTATTTTCTGGAGGCTCCCATATTTCTATCCTTACAGGTTCACTTTAAAGTTCATCTAAAGTCTCCTGTGTGACAATATAAATAAGTCCCGAATCCAGTTACTATGCGATACACCAGCCTCATAAGATAAACAAAAAACTTGCTTTACCTTCCCTGACTGAGCCAAATCCTCCTTCATTTGTGTCTCATACACTCCCCCTTCTCAGACACTGCAGCTCACAGTGGGAGAGTTTTATGCTGCCAATCCATAGAACAGTGAGCAGGACATGGTGTGGCCAGGTGCTGATTGAAACGTACAGGCTGGTGAATCAGCAGTGACACTGCTAATAACCACATCCTCTACAACCTCTCATCCCACTGAAACACATGCAGACACAGCCTACATAAGGGTGACAATGCTGCTCAGATTTGGAGCAGTTTAGTAGTGTTGTCACCAGTTCGGAAGGAGATGCATGAGGTAGACGCTACTGGCAGGATCAGACAGCATTTGTAAGACTTTGCAGGGGGACAAAGAGAACACTGTCAGGGCAGATGCACTTATGATTAGGTGTGGTAACACATTTTATTTTTCCTTTAAAGGGAGGCCATAGTTCTAGTTTAATACAACATAAACATAGGTGCTGCATAAAAACTGGTCATATTTGCCTTTAGGTGCACAAGCAAAAAAAAACACACAAAAATATATAAAATCTGGTGGTATCAGGGAATTGTAGACATTTTCCTCCCACTCCTTTTCGAAGTCCCTGTGATTTTGTTAGACAAACTCGTGAGCTATTGCCAGCACTTACCGAGCACTCTGCTAAGATGCTTTCAGCTGCTGTTAGACTTGATGACCTCTGCAATTTGTTCAGTCTTACTTGCTGGGCATCAAACCAATTGTTTACTGACTGTCTCCTGCTCTCCTGGTCAGATATGCTCTCAAGGGTCTGTTCCACGTGTTGAATCTGAGAACAGTATAGTGTTAGAGTAAGTACCAATGTATAAAAACACTTTCTTAAAGAAGGGGTGACAGTCTGACGTGACTTCCCAGCTGAGAGGCCATTTCAAACAGTGGGAATCCACGACATAAGCAAGAAGCCAAAAAAATGAACAGGCATAAAAGAAGAACCAACATGAAACAACTAGAGATCAATAATGTTTACATATGACTCAATATGACAGGGATAAAGGAAATTTGTGCCAAGAAAATTAAGATGCTCTTTGCCTAGCAGTGATACGGACCTGGGACTGGCATGGTGGGTCTCTGTAACAAGAGCACACTTCCACCTGCTGATCTCACCATAGATCACTGAAAGTGGAAGTGATATGTATTACATCACTTCCGCCTTCAGCCTGTCATTTCTCCAGCTGCTGTAGCCGGAGAAAAAGCTGATGACGCAGATCTCTAGACAGGAAGAATAGGAGTTTAATACCGCGGCTTTCCAGTGGTTAAAGTATATGTTAAAAGAAAGATGTGCGGTATACCTCTGCAATACATGCACACTTTCTCATGGTATAACTCTTTAAAGACTCTGCAAGTACAGAAAAATAGCTGTTGATCTACCAAAAATGCTCACTCAATGCAACACTTGGCTCTTAATTTTCTGTTGTTGTGGACTAAGATCGCAAGAAGTGGTGTCAGCTCTGCCTTGTTTTCATTGCTGAACTACAGAACACTTCCCCTCCTTATCTGCACAACACAGATTATTGTTCCACAGTCCAAGATAAGAACTGATAGGGCTAAATAGGCTCCATGATATAGCACAGAAAGTGTGCACAGGACACAAGGCAGCTCTAAATTTCTGACCAGATCAACAGGTACTCTATAATTTTGCACAGATATAAAAAAGGCTTTATGATTATACATTTAAAAGACCAAAATGGAATAAGAGTAGTATGAGGGTTGACATACACTTTAAAGGTACTCTTAGAAATGCACCCAATTTACTTCCCATTGTAAGCGTAACTGATATATCACAATGGATGGGAAATATGCAAGTATAACACGGGGAAGGCGGGCTATGATATAAAGTCCATGAACTCATCGCACTCCTAACCACTTGTTCCATATGAATTGGTTGGGTGCTGCGGTATTAAACGGATGGCAACCGTCATGTACACAGATAGAGATAGGGACACCGGCACTCCAGATGCAAATCAAATGCGTCTATTTATTGACGTAAATGCAGCATATCACACCGGTACAACGTTTAGGGGTCTTGCAAGATCCCGTTCCTCAGGTAAAACATGTTTTTCCTGAGTGAAGGGATCCTGCGAGACCCCGAAACGTTGCACCGATGTAAAATGCTGCATTTACGTCAATAAATATGCATTTGATCTGCATCTGGAGTGCCGGTATCCTTATCTGGGCTATGATATAAGGTGCAGTTACTATTTGAAAGGAGCCCCTTAGTGGAAATGAACATGTGGAATCTTTTACTTTTATTTTCAAGATGTTTAAGATGGAATTTGATAAATCGACCGGTCGTTTTTCTTTACCATTCTTCTACAGCTATAAAAAAAATGCCATCAAATCGAAATAATCAATTTCCCTCTCATTCCCCGATTGATTAGAAATGGTATTTTCTTAACAGCACAAATGAAAATAATTTTGGTAAAATACTTGGATTTTGTCTGGAATCATCTCAGACACACATCAAAATGCCGAATTTGGATAAAATGTACTGGTGCTCATGTATTAGGGTGGTGTGATGGCATACATTATCTCACTGTTTATACTGTAGGTCTATACTTGTTTAAAGTGATATTAAAGTCAAAAGGATTTAAGCTATTTAAAATGCTGATGAAATCCCTTGCAATGGATGCTGCTCTTTGATGTTTAAAAGTTTTAATTTCGTGCAGAATCAGCTGGTCCCCTGAGCACTGGTCCTGACTTCCTGTTTTAGATTGACTCCTTTCTCAAGCAGTGGGCTATGCAGTCACCCTTGTGTGTGCTAGTAAGCTGTATGTGTCTCTGCAAACACAGACACAGCAAATCAAGCTACTTCCCTCCCCCCCTGCCCCCCTCTCCTGCATCCTCCAAGCTAGTAGATGAACAGTTGCTGGAGTCTGCATTGTCCCTTGTGATCTTGTACTGGACAGGAAGTTAAGGGAAGCTGAGCTGAGAGATTTGGAAGCAGCTGTTCACAAACATGATGATTTTAAGTGTTTGGGCAACAATGTAAAGCAATGATTTGCTGGGCAACGTATATTTGTTTAATCTGGAATTATTGAAAAAAGTTTGAGAGTTTAAACTTACTTTAATATTTGTATTGATTAAAACAATGTAATGCATCTTTCAAAATGTATAATGTACCATCAGTGAATATATTACAAACACACCTTCCTGTTGAGGTCTCCCTTCATGTTATTCCATTGTAGATTCAGAGTTCCAAGCAGCTCAGCTAATTCCGTCCTCTTATAACGTTTGGCTTCCACATCACCCACACTAAGCTGTAGTAATGACTGGTTGACAAAATCAACAACACATTGCTTGTGGCTCATTTCTTTCTGTAGTGTCTGTCAATGAATCATACGATAGTAACAATTTTTTTAAATATACAATAGTCAACAACAGTCAATAAATACATAGAAAAGTCACAGAAACAAGAGGGTTATAGGGAAACAATGAACATGCCTAGCTGGTCAACCTATGGCCCTTCAAGCTCCACAATGCCCTGGTTAATAGTGTACAAATAGCCCAAACGTTTTGTTTTAGATTTGGACAGAGTAGGGAAGGATTAAAATCCCAATGTATCCTTTGAGTGTTGTGCTCAAATAAGCTCCTTGTTTACATCTGTTATCAGAGACTGCGCTTTCAATCAGAAAAACAGAGCCTGAAAGTAAGCTTCTCTGCTGTGCTGTCTCTTTAGATAGCCTCTTATGTTTTATCTGTCTGTATATATATATATATATACATATACACACATATACACATACACACACATTTAAAACCTATATTCCGTAATCAAGTGCAATGGCCATTCCAGCCCATGTTTCTACGCCAATTATCACTGCTCTTTACCTTATATTTCTGGAGGAGACTTCTGATGTCTGATGTAATGGTCGGGACAGTCTCAGCACTCTGCTCAAAAATTTTCATCCAGTCCATCAATTCCTGGATTTCTTGAAGAGAAGGGAGTTTCTCAATAAGAAGCTGTAAAGTTGAGTAAACAAAGGTTCCATTATCAGAGGCTTTGTATGAATATATTATTTATTTTATAAAGATCTAGAATCAAACAAGCCAAAAACAAATGTATAAAAACACAGTAAATATGTGAAAATAGAATACGTAAAAAGAAAAGCAAATCCCTTCGGTATCATAACTATATATGATGGGGTGTTGTGGTAAAGTACATATATATGACCCTAACTACACATATGACCCTAACTACACATGCAGTCCAAGCTGCCATTAAAAGCCAATCTTAGTAATGAGCCCTCTACTTCAGAATACAAATGGCACTGCAGGGACCAAAATGCATTTCTTGCTGAAAGTGGTGTGTAAATTTAACACACATTAAAGCTGAACTTCAAGGAGAAACAGCTAAATGCACAGCCTGGCCTTGGACCACTCTGCAGGTAAACTGTGATTTCACTGCTTGGTCCAGGACCCTTCCTAGATGATGTTTGGATGATAAAGAAGCAGCAACCCAACAATGAGGTTATTGATATGCTCTCTCCACCTATCAGGAAGCTTCTAGTGTTAAAAGGACAGAACTGTGCAATTCAGTCAGACAGGATTAAACTGTCCATATACAAGGATCACATAAAGCTAAAATCCAGAAGGATGCAGGTACGTCTGTCAGCTTAATACATGTATAACTGGATCAAATGTTGAAGTAGTATCTATGGCCATATTTCCATTGTATGCTCTATGATGGTTGTAGTTCGGTAACTTCATGTTTATAGCTTTTAGTATGCTTTAGAGTTTGTAGACTAGGATACAGCATCCAGATCTAATGAACTTCAGGTTTTTCTCTAGGTGCCTTTTGGTCGCTGACCAGTGTCCATCTCTTTAGGGAGGGCATGCTTTGCCTGCCTGTTTAGCTGGCCAAAACCACGAAGGCAATTACAGTTCAACCTGTCTTCTGTCTAATATCTGCCCAGATCTCGGCTTTTTACACATGTCACACTGTTTAGAGTACACTACATTATCTGCTCATTGAACAACACTGCCCTGCCACTTCTTGTTTTACAGATTTTGCCTATTTGGCACCATGCTGTGATCCCCTGTCTGGAACATCATCAGTCACTGAGGGTCATAAACTGGTAGAATAACACAACGGAATTGTTGATTAGATCATAGTGGCCACAACAGACTTTTTCAATAAGCCTATTAGTATTTATTGATATCCTCAGGGTAGAATGATGCCTCCGATAGGCATGTGTGAAAACCCATACTTGTGTAATTTGAAGTAAGTACTGCCTGTTCTTACTTGTTGTAGCTTGTCTTGAATTGGTGGCAACTCAGCAATAATCTCGGCCCATTGCTCCTCATATTTGGCCAGGGTCAGTTTCAGCATTGCTGGGTCAGCTTCTTTCAGACGGAGTAGTTGGGTACCCCTGTTCAGCACTGATGTCTTTAAGGAAGATTTCTCATCCACTTCAAATGTGAATTCCTGTAATCAAGCAGAACATGGATAAATGTACCCATGTAAGGTATATGATATTAAAAACATTTCTACATTCTGTTCTTCTTTCTGCAATCAGCCTGTGATTGGAAAATTATCAACCATTATCTCACTTGTTGTTGCATCTCCAGGACAGGAAGAGAAGAAAAATCTCCACAATGGGCCACAGACAGCTAAAAATAAACTGACAGGGGGGTTAACCCCTCTCCACTCTGTGTAATCAAAACGTTTCCTTTTTAGTTTTGAATAGACATTTTAAGTTCACTGGAAGTTAATGGGGAACTCTGCTGTGTCTGTGCGTACCCCCACCACTATGTCACTATGGATGACAAATGAAGGAAAAAGAAAGAAAGCACCTAATGGTTCTTGATTCAGAAGTAGTATGACACACTAAGAAGAAAGAATGATACGACACCGACCCACTAAAAAAAAGTATAAAATTATACAAAAATGTTATGGTAGTGGGCCCATTCACAGCAATGCCGTGCATGAATTGCACAGATCTGTGTAATTAACAAATGGGACTGTGCATTACAGTGCGACAGGTGCATTGCGTTGCCATTCATGTAAATGGCATCCTAAATGCACCTCCCGGCCACAGTGTGATTGACCACACCGCAATACATGGTACCGCAAAACTTTGCGTTGCTGTGTGGTTGAAAATAGTAGTACATGCAATGCATTGGTAGTGCATGCAGGGGTAACATGTGTTGCAGCATGGTCGAGAGCATTGCGGCTGGGAGGTGCATTTAGGGTGCCATTCAAATGAATGGCAACGCAATGCACCTGCTGAACTGTAACACACAGTAGGTGTGGTACCGTGCAATTACTGCACGGCACTGGTGTGAACAGGCCCATATACAACATAGCTTTACCTTTTACAATGCTGTTTGACTAACGCTACCAATTATTACCGGATTAAAGCAAAAAATACATAGTGCTTCTACATCATTTCAGAAGACTAAAAAGTTGCCTTCTGTTTGCCAGGTTTCCTATTTTGTACCTGACCTCAGTAACCACAACCGTACGGATCTCAAGCACATGAAAACAGCTCTTGGTGAGTTTTCTCATAATCCCATTAACATGTGGTTGTGGTAGAGTTCATGCGCGGAACACATCTATGTTTAATCTCCCCCATCGAGCAGAACAAATTTTGCACAGTGAGGATTATTTCACTGTGTTGTCTTGAGCCGAGTGTATTTGGCACAAATGGATTTGGAAGTCTGGATTGGGATCGGAAAATGATTTAGTAAATCCTGTCAAGAAATTCCCCAACAGAAATATAAGCTTGGTGATCTCTGGCGAGCAGTGGACATTTCTGTATTTGTACTGGATGTTTTAATTGCTGAGTGTGAATAAAGTTTGCAAACCTTCTGCTGGCAGTGAGCTCTGGAAAATTATGAAGAATTAACTGCTCCATCCCTCCCGAGAGCACATGCAAGTCAGATATTTGCACTGGAAAGCCTTTGCTAAAATTACTAATTTTCCGGTCCTTTGACAGTTGCCATCAACATCCCAGACAGTAATAAACTACCCCATTTACCAAACATGAGGAAAATGTGGGCTATGTGGGCAAAGTGTTATCAAATAAGGCATCTCAGGATCCCTTCATTGGTGCATACTTCGAAATGATTGACTGTACTGCACAGAAAGACTCATAATCTGGCTTCTGGCACCAAGTAAAAAAACTCCTGTCAGGTTTTTACTGCTATTCAGGGCTCCGTTATAGAGATAGGCCCTAACTTCCTGTCCTGTTGACAATTCAGGGATCCCAACCTGAAAGAAGCAATTTCAGGGAGGTGTCCCTCTCATTTCAGGGAGGTGCCCTCTCCCCCCCCCCCCCCCCTGATCGTCCGGGAGAGTTGGGATGTCTGACAATTGTTTCACCAGACAGGAAAAATCTGCAAAACGAACTATACTACAAAAAAGTATTTGTTGTTGGAGAGTTAACCTCACTTCCTGTCTGGTAAATCCCTGTCTGTGTTATCTGCCTGGCTCTATTATTGGGCATTTTCCACAGCCTATAAGGAAAGGCAATCTCTGCTTGGCCCTATTATGTGGGATTTCTGGTAGCTTATAAAGAAAGGTAAATTTGGGATATATAATATTGTCTCCCTCATGACAGAGGAACATACCTATTTTAGATTTTGTTGGGAGCGATATTGTGGTTTCTTTATATATACTTTATATTTTCGAAACCACATGGCTGTTCCCTTTTACAGATTTATGCCCCCCTGCGGTCCTCGCCACCAGAGTACTCATGAGTTTTTACATCGCATGATTCATACACCTCTGCTTGACTATGTGTAAGCTCTAAAATCATAGATGTACTATATTTAAAGGAGAACTATGAGGGGAGTGCTTTTTACTCGCCTCATAGTTCTAGCCGACCTGTGACAATGAGTATTGCATATGCGCGACCGTTGCGCGGTTTTTTTACCGCGATTCGCGTGTTACCGTCGCGCGTTTCCGAAGGCTACTTGGCTGTATCCCAATGGAAACGCGCAACAAAGCGGCCCAAAGTAGTACCTGTACCTTTTCAGGCGTGGGCCGTATTGTAGCGCGTTAGGGACGGGTGGAAATACGCCAAGGTGGGAACGAGACCATTGAATACAATGGGATTTATATTTTTGAGCGTTTAGAGAGTTCGTCGAGCGTAGAACGCGCTACAAAACGTTCAGGTGTGAACGAGGGCTTAAGGACGAATAATGATGTATGGAGATTATAAGAGCCTCTGAGGCAAGTTATGTGGTGGATGTTACTGAATACTAGAGTCAAATGTTATTACTTCATGGAAACCTTCTGAGTGTGGAGTGGGACAGTTCCAAAATGAACGTCACCAAAATGTTATTCAAAGAAGAACTTACAAAGAACTTGTGCAGGTTGTCTTTAATGGTATCCAAGTCCTGAGAGACATCCAGTGACTGCGTCCTGCAGTTATTCAGCTTCTGGTAGGCAGAGCTCAGCCAAGCTGATAATTCAGCAGAATCCCTGTTATAACTGATAAAAATGAGAAACACGGACACAGTGAATTGTTTGCATTAACAATGTTAGTCTTTAGTAATTGATAGCTTTTATGATGTCCTTTGGAAATAAATTTCCTTGAATATGTAAGAAAAAGATGCAACTTGCAAGATCAATTAAAGCTGAACTCCAGCAAATAGGAAAACATGCAAATGAAATACACAAAAATTAGTTGTTTTACTTGCTGAATGACTTGTATTTCTGTCCATTCAATCCTGAGCATTACACAGCTCCCTCACAGTGCATAGCCAGGTGGATGACACCACATACAGCTAAGGAATACAGTGGTGTCCTCTCTTTCACTCCTAGCTTGCTGACTGAACAGTGAAAGAGCAGAAGAGGACCGATAAAGTCATCCTCTGCTCCTATCAAAATGTTTCTGGTCAACACTTTAGCATGAAGCACACCTGATTGACTCCCCAACACTACCAGTGTCTGTACTACTGCATAGGGAATTTCAAAAGACTAATACCAGTTCACATTCAGATACGTACACTAGTACACTAGCTGCATTTAATGACATATTCATGAATAAAGAGCTACACTAATCTCTATATTTTACATCTGCCCAATGTTCAGCTTTAACATAGAAACCTTTTACCCTTTCCCTGCCAGCACCCGCTATAGCCGCTGGGACTCTGTTTACCTGTGTAAAGCCGACTGTTGGCTTTACACTGGAAGTGATTCTGGCGCTTTCACTTCCAGGGACCGGTAAGCAGAGCTCCCGTCTCCATCCCCAGCCTTGCTTCCTAGGCTCTGCTGCCCCTCCTGAGGGCCTGGGACCAGCATCACAGGTGTCGTCGGGGAGCGGGGATAGAAACCAGTGAACATCTGTTTGCAGATCTCCTCCCTGCTGAATGAAGCAGGACGCAACCCTGATTGCATCACTTCCAGCTTGTCAGCTGTCATTCCCTGGCTAGAGAAGCTGGGGAAGAAGCTGATCAAGTACGATCGGTGCTTGATCAACTTCTTTGAAGTGCATAGGGGAAATTAGGGGTCTAACAGACCCCTAAGGTCACCTTAAAGAGTATCTGTCACCTCCAATCTGCTATCACATAGGGGGCTTGTGAGTCATATTACTGAAATTTTTGGCTTGATAAAGAGTAGCCCTGGTATTATGCAACATAAAAATTTGCAACTGTCCCCATTTTATTTCACAGGGCCTGTGTCTCTCAATGGTTTAGGTCAGGGGTGCCCACAATTTTTTATGTTGAGATCTACTTTTCAAATGACGAGCTACATGAGATCTGCCAACGGAAAAAAAAACCCTCCCCTCTCGCTCTCTCTCCTGGCTGTCTCTCCTCCCTCTCTCTCCTGGCTGTCTCTCTTCACTCTCTTGGCTGTCTCTCCTTGCTCTCTTCCTGGCTGTCTCTCCTCTCTCTTTCTTGGCTGTCTCTCCTCTCTCTTTCTTGGCTGTCTCTCCTTTCTCTCTTTCCTGGATGTCTCTCCCCTGGCTCACCTTGCTGTATTTTGCAAACAGTGTAGTGCAACAGTCTGTGTAAACTAATATTCTTTGATGTAATACATAGCACTTCAACCACCAGTATCCACCAGAAAGGTGTCAGGGAGCTTGGCTCAGCAGACTCAGGCTAATAGGTAATCATGTGTGCACAGCTAAATAAATATATCAAAATGGAATAAAGGGGCCGCCATACACACCCTTTGTGATCTACCAGCATCAGCTTTGAGAGCTATTGGTAGATCACGATCTACCTAATGGGCACCCCTGGTTTAGGTAATTTTCTGGCCTAAAATGTGGATTGTGTGTGCAGAAAATGCTCTGGCAGTGAAAGGGTTATCTAGAGCTATCAAACTGGTTGCCCCTTTTGGTACTGAAGTAGACATTTTTAACATGATTACATCCAATAGGAAGAATCCTCTATTTACTAAAGTCTTGTGATTCACAGTCCTCCGCATATTCGGGAAGATCACCTAATTTACCTGTTTCTGTTTCCTGGATCGCCTACAGTATCTAATTATTAGAAAGAAGTGATTCATGGTCCAGTGAGAGTGCTGGAGGGGATGACATGGCATAGGAAGCTGCATTGCTGAACCAGTACATCGCTGTATTACCTGTCTGCCTATGGCCTATGCAGTGTACCTGGTGTGTGTAAATCATGGACTGGCACAACAGAATAACAAATCCTTTGGCAGGCAAAACGCTAACGTATATATATTTCAAACTTGTGTTAGGAGTCTCACTTTACCTGGTGTTCTATACTATATATTAAACTCTGAGACACAAAAGTAGAGTCACCAGGCATTGATATACAGGTATAAAGACCTGTGTGAAGACTAACTTGGAAAACACCAGTGTATAAAATACATGGTTCTGAGCATAAAGCCCAAGAAATCTAATGGGTTTTATCTTTTTACCTATATGATCCCTTTAAAGACCTTAGGATAAGCGTGTAAGCTCAGTTTAGTAATACAGCAGAAGCTCTCACTGTCTCTTTTAGTACCATATGTGTCTGGCAGCTGCATTTCTCCCTTAAATGATTACAATGGTATTAGCCAATGTTCTTAAACAAACAGAGATTATATTTACTGAGCTGGAACACTGTATTACTTTTTCCAAGAATCTGCTGCAGTAAAGCAAATTAAATTTGCAAAGGATTTTTCTGAGTAAGTAAAAGCTGATTTTGTGTTTTCGGGTCTGTGCTGGAAACAGCAATTGATATGATTTGTGGATTGATTGAGTTACCATTACCTGGCCAAATGGCTGCCTAGAGACTCCAGTCTGTGCAGCTCGTGACCGACCTTTTGGGTTAGCTGTGACCACTGCTGCTCCATCCCGAGAACCTGAGAATCCAGATCCCTACAACGCAATAGAGGCTGCAGCCTTTTTCCTGGCACAACTACCCAGTTCAGCCTGGGCTCATTTTCATCAAGAAGCACTTTAATTTGCTGAAAATGTAAAGCAAACACAATTTTAGCTCTCCATGTAGCCATCAGTGTATTTTTATCCAGCCATCTATCTATCAATCCTTTAGCCATCCATGTATCCATCAATCCCTGTAGCAGTGCATCCATCTATCCATCCCTGTAGCCAAGTACCTATCTATTCATCCATCCACATAGCTATGTATCTATCCCTGTAGCCTTGTCATAATTCATCCATCCTTGTTTCCATCATCAGTCTCTCATTTATCTATCCATCTAGCCACCCATCCATCTACCTATTGATATCAATATAAAACACCACTTTAAAAACATAAAAACATTAAAACGATTGTAATTCCAATTTGATCTCATTCATGGCTTTAATCCTAATTAAAAGCATGTGCGTTTCCCATATGCACTTTTCAGGGAGCCCAGATGACTCATTCTCTTTGCAGCATCCAATCACCCAACACCCCTCACAGAAGTGAAGTGTAGTGTATGGATATAATACAATACCTTTCCATTGTTCCCCCTCCCAACTAAAAAGAAATTACAATGTTTCAATTAAATCATTTTGTTGTTCAAAAAATATATCTTTTGAGACCCAGTGATGTCATCTCTGGGTGTCTCGGCTGCTCTTTGCTCCGTGTTTGGTGGGAAGGGCCGGCCAGCTCCTGTAAATTGTTGCAGCATTCTGCCTTGGATCTTTTTTAAAAAAAAAATCACTTAACAGAAAAGAACACATCCCCAGGATTACTTTAGATGTGACACTGGGTGCTGCAGACTTTAGCCAATTATCTGCGGATTGGTTGACGTAGGTCTATAAACAGGGGTGGGCAAACTCCAGCCCTCCAGCTGTTGGGGAACTACAAATTGGGAACAAACTGAATGATGGCAGAGAAAGATAATAGCTGTGAGAGGGGATCAGGCGAAGAAGTGATTGATGGATGACGGAGGTCAATCAGATAGGCAATAAAGTGGGCTTAAGAAAGCTGCTGCAGCTTCAAAGGATTATATTGTAGAGATGCAAGTTTACAGGAGTAAGTTTCAACACAGCAGAGGACTAGTGTAGTTTTTTTTTAACTTGCCGTTAGCAAATGTCAAAATTGTGTTAATAGTGGTTGTCATGGTGAACCATGACAACAGGTCTCTTAGCAATTGACTGGAAGTTCCGTATGCCCAGGGGCATCCCGAGGCCAGGTGTCACCCGGAGCGGGTACGGGGTGACACCCCAGAGTGACGTCATTGAGCATGCGCGTGACGTCATTGTGCGAATGAGCGGCCATTTTATTGATACCTGCCAGTGGCCATCTTGGTGATGGACACGGGCAGAGAAAGGAGGAGACTTTCACGGGGGGGATAAGGTATGCCACCAGGTCCCCTCCTCCCTCCTGAACCTGTCGGGCTCTCGTGTCACCCGGGTGTGGGCCGCACCTCCCTTTGTGACGCCACTGCGTATGTCCCACTGTGCGAAAGCAGCGTGACTTTACCACTGTTGTAACTCCTGCAACACTAGAAAACCATTTGTCAGGCAGTGTGACATCACCTGATACTGGAGAAGTCGCTCCTTAACCCTCTCTTCTGACTCTTCCACCAAACTCTTTGTGGGGACCAGAGATTCAAGAGCTTCCATCTTTTTACTGAAATAATTGTATCTTGAGTCAAAATCATCCCACTCCTGATGACGGAAAAAAATCTGTTACTGGAAACCCACACAGGGTGGTAGGATGAAAACATAAATTTTGCTAGATCCAAGTATATAATGAACATACAAAATGTACAGTAAAATATACTTCACATGGATCACATCACGGCCTGCTCACTTTGTTTTGTGGCGGGAGGGGGCCTGGCGTTGCATTAAAGCCAATGTCACCGCAGCCACGCCCTATGGCCGCAGTTCGATCGCCCGCACCAGAACGCCTGCATTCCGGTCAGAAAAAAATGCTGCATGCACTATTTTTTCTGCACGGAACACAGGCATTGATGTGCACGCGTTCCGGTGTGGGTGATCGTACTGTGCCGGAGGGCGTGGCTGCAGTCAGGGCCGGATTTACTCTCCTTGCCGCCCCCAAGGCCAGGTTCCACAATACACCCCCCTGTTTCTTTATTTTTATTACTTTTTATTTTGTTATTAAATTATTTCTTCTTATTTTTGTAAATTTGTATTTGTTTAATTATTTTTTAATCAATTTAAATGCTTTTAGATTTATATTTTTACTTTGACTTTTTTAGAATTTACTTTTTTATCATTTTTATCTTATTATTGTTTATAATTATTTTCTTATTTTTTACTTTTTAATCACCTTTGTATTTTTTTATTTAATTATGTATTATTATTATTTTTACATTTTTATTAAATTTTTTTTTAAATCGATTTAAATTTTTTTTTCTCACCTAACTTTATTGCTATCACACAGGAGATAACAAGCCCCTGTGTGATAGCAAGGTAGACGGCGAGGTATCTCATGCCCCAAAACAAAGTGAGCCGTGCGGAATGCGTTCCAGTGCGCTCTGGCACCAATCGGACCAGAGCGCACTGTGGCTGGTATGAACTAGCCCCAGTGCAAGATTATGGAATAGTTAGAACTCTGCAGAGGGGTTACTGTCTGTGTCATATTAGAGAGATCTTCTGGCCTCAGAGACACAACAGAAAGTGAGAGGAGATCACACTAAAGTGTCACTGAACAGTTGTCCTCAATCGGAAGATTTCCCCTCACCTCCTATTCAGGTGACAACTGTAACATTTTGTATTACTTTCTGTGCCCAGATGACCAGGACAGATAGAGAGAGAAGATCTCCCATGTTGAAACTCAGCAGTAAAAACCCCTCAAGGGTTCTAACGCTATCCAAAACTAAATAAGTATGTTTTGGTTCCCTGGCCCATATGAATCATTATTTCACATATGAGCAAATATTTCTGGGTTGACTGACAATCTCCTTCTGCGATTTGCAAAGTCAAAGGTGGGGGAGGAGACAACAAGTAATCTGGTCTATTGGACCCCTTTCTAGTTCAGTAAGGGGAGAGAAACCCTATTACCTTCATTATGGCCATCATATGAATACAATGAGCATCAGCTTCTTTGCTCAGGATATCCGCTTCATGCACCGCAGTCTCTGCAATTTGCTTGCAGTTGGTGGGTGTGCAGTTCTTGGAGGAAAGTGCTTGTAACAAGAGAACTTGACTGTCCAGTATATTAAAGAAATTCTGTGTAAAAAAAAAGAGCAGACGTTTGAGTAACAAATAAAAGCCAATTATATCCATGGAACAACCCCACTAGGCTACATTTTGAAAGTTCACTCAGTCACGTCATTCACTTCAGTCTGAGCTTTGTGTAACACCCTGTAGTCAGTTTTTAACAAGCTTGTGCTTCAAGTGGGAGTGCAGCCTCTTGGCACCGGATTCTCTGCAGCATAATCTCACGGCCTTTAATGTGTCTGAGTGAAACTGTAGTTGGCTTAATGAGAGTGATATGCTCAAAAAAATTAAACACTTGGGAGGCTGATTTATAAACTGTTCGCACAGCTCTTCACTGTGTGAATGAGATTTGCAATACTGTATGGCCACTAGATGGCGGCGAGAAGCATAGGAATTTTCTATGCTCCTTGGTTAGATCTAGTGGCCAAACAGCGAAGAGCTGAGGGAGCAGTTTTTAAATCAGCCCCTTCTCAGGTTCAATTTAAAGGTTATTTATAAAAATACAGACAACTAGAGGGAATTCCAAGGTGAAAGTACAACCATTCGGCATGTGTATTTTGCCCTTGAATTTAAAGTAGATCTAAACCCAAATCAGAAAAACTAACATGTTAAAGTGGAACTTTACCCATATTTTCAAAATAACAACAATCTACAAACAAATGCTTCTAGTACATTGCCGGCTTTATATTCATTGCATACCTTATTTTTAGGAATGCGCTGAAATTATATTTTGAGACCAAAACCAAAAATAAAAAAATGTGTCAGGCAGAAACGGAAAATTACGCTTTTTTTTCCCCAACATTTTTAAAACTTAGTTAAAATTATTTTTTAATGATTTTATTTTTAATTATTTCTCTTTTTTTTTTACTTTACTGCTGGGGGCTCTGGGGAGATATCACGGGTCTAAATAGACTCCTGATATTTTCCTTTTAAAATAGAAAAAGAGATTGAGGACACAGAGTTCTTTTTCTGCCACCCCTGTTATGAATGAACAGGAAGACTCTATACTGAGTGCTCCTGTCCATTCATACATTGTAGAAACAGTGTATGTTACTATGTCCACAATCCTGAATGAACAGGAAGTGATGTGGATCACTTCCCATTCATTCATAACTGGGACAGGGTAAGCACACTATGTCCAGTTATTTACAAACACTCACCAATCAGCTGATCGGTAAATGTTTGTACACAGTTCTCCATCCTGAATGGGCTGTCACAGGAGGTGGGGAGGAGAGCGCCGCCTCCTGTGGAAGATAACAGCACTCTCCTCCAATCACAATTCTCCATCCTTACACAGGAGGCGAAGCTGGGAGGTGCGGTAGGAGAGCTCCGCTTCCTGTAAGATGACAGCTGTCACCGCCTCGATCTCCATCCTGACACAGGAGGCAGAGCCGGGAGGTGCAGGAGGAGAGCTCTGCCTCCTGTAAAATGACAGCTGTCACTGCCCGCACTGCTCGGCATCCTGTCCAATGTCACTGTCGCTTGGCCTTCTGAAAACTTCTCTCCTCCCGGCTGGGAGCTGGCCACTGCATCAGAAAGCACAGAGACCAACAACCAACGTCCAGCAGTGAGGAGAGAAGCTAGGGATAGACTTAATTTTCGCCTTCATTTTTGGCCCTCAGGGCACTTTCGGCCAAAATGTTTTGGCGGCCGAAATTTGTGCATCCCTACTTATTTTTCCTTTCCTTCCCATTCTTCTCATAGTGACCATTTTAACTCAGGCAATATTAATATCACCCTTTACTTCCTGCCCACGTGACTAGGACATTTGACCAGTTAGGGTTTACGGCTACTTGAATCACAAAATAGTCTGAAAGGAACCTATTAACCAAAAGAGTCAATTAATGCCACAAAGTTTTTTGTTTTTTTTACCCTGGTTCACACCTATTCATCTGCAACATGCCGACATGGAGAAGTCGCCCCACACAGGAACAAATATCCAAATTTCTGGAGACATGGGGCCCCCTTTAAAAATTAAAATAATTTTACAAAAAAAGGATGTTTTTCTGAACTAAACACGTCGGCCTTCTTAAAATAAAGAAGTGCTAACTGGCTCTCCGTTGTTGATGGTCTTAAAACAAATGGCTCATCATTTGTCAGTTATTGCTAATGTAAAGAAAAACACCTACCAAAAGAAGAAAAAACACAGTGCATGAAATGGATTTCAAACCTCCTGTTTTTCTCCCCATGCTATGACCTTTATGAATCAACAAAATAATGATGAGACTTTTCACTGGAGAGGTTCAGCACATATGTTATTTTAAGCGAGGAAATTGTACAGTAGGAAAAGCACGAGTCCAATTTACTGCCTCTAGGCTCGTGGATTATGTCAGCGGTTACGTCTGAAGGTATGTGATTTTATTATATAATCAATCAGCGCAAAAAAGCCAACGAAGCTTATGTTCTATACCTATTCACAGCTATAATAAGAACATTAGAAAGAAGAGGCTTCTGTGAACTTTGTGAAGATTAGGAGATAAAGGGTGGTAAATGAGGACAGCAAACTGGTAAAATGCTATTAGAGGATTAAAACTATGCATAGAGCCCATCAGCATTTTCTTATTCTACTTGATGTTTAAGAGACATTTTACTTCAACCTCCCCTCCCCCCCCATCCAGTTCTAAAGGGCACTGGATGTTTTCTTTTCCCCTGCGGCCAATTCTTTCCCTCCAGTAGTGTGCCTGCGTACTGTATAAATGCTTTATCTAAAAGTGAATTTGTGCTTTTACCCTGTCCATGGCAAATTCCCCCCTCCCCAGTCGCAGACTTATCTACGCTTCACTTCCGTCTCTCTGTTCAAGGGACTCTATATCCAAAATGAAAATGGTGGAAAATGTGCACCCTAACTTTATTACCCAGGATCCCCCAGATTTATGCCTCTTTTAAACTTTGCTCAAAGGATCCATCCACCTCACTCCCCTACGTTTACAAGTGGGAACAGGATCTTAATCTAGGGCTGCAGCTAACTATTATTTTCATAATCGATTAGTTGCCCTATTATTCTTTCAACTAATCGATTGGTTGCATTAAAGAAAAATCTCTCTCTCTCACCAACTAACCGATAATGAGAATAGCTGCCAACTATTCTCATAATCTATTATTATCGATTTAATCAATTAGATGTTGCAGCCCTATTTTAATCACTCGGCTGCACCGGAGGATTAGAGTAAAATTTGGACTAGCAGAGTAAAATGTTCCTTTAACACATGTTACTTCAACATGACCATCTTGGTTCTCCTAAGGTGGTATTGGGTACCCACACGTATAGTCAAAGCTGTTCCATCTTAAAGTGGAAGATGCTTTAAGAGTTGTGGTCAGCAAGATCATTCCTTGCATGCCTGCTGGTCAAGTCCAAAACTGACCTCTTTCTGCTCTAGAAAATTCGGCCTCATTCAAACCGTGTTCTGCATTACTATTCCACAAGACCCCTGGATAGCTCTTCTGCACCACACTCTTACAGGACTAACTGTCCACCAACATATGCCTTTTCTTTTTCTGGCCGCTAAACAAACCATAGCCAAGGCCTGAAAGAAACTCAGTGGCAACCTACGGGAAGTTAAAGAACGCATGAGAACAATGCTTGTTATCAAGAAGCTATCTGGCATTCTCAAAGAGTCAAAGCCTAAATTCCTTAAGATTTGGGAACCTTGGATCAACTATGCTTTTCCCCCCCTGAATCCCTCTAGCCATAGCTACCTATAGTTCTCTACTTTATACTTTGTCCTGGGCCCCTGAGAAAGTGGAACCTTATCCTATTTTCCTCATACATTTCACACTTCTTACTTTCCTCATCTTCCCAACCTCTTTCCTGACTCCCACATTAAACCCTCCTACCACCTCCCTCTTCCTATTCCTTGACCCCTTCCCTCCCCCTTCCCCCTTGAGTGGTTTCCTCTCCTGCCCCTTGCAAGAGGGGAATTTATAAACAAAACACGCCATGCTGTCCCAATGTCTGGGAAGGTTATGATGACCCAAACAGGTCCTGAATGACCCACTCTTGAATTCTCCCATTACACGCACCCTACTCTTTTTTTGCCTTGTATGCTGATCCACTGGCCCTGTTTGGGCAATTCTGTTATACCTGATCCTGAAAGCATGCAGTCCAAGGAGTAGCTTTTTGTATTATGGTTACATAAGGTTATTTATGAGTTGAGAATTACCATGGCCCTGTAAGAGAAACATTATTATGGATTGAGGAATCAGCAAGTTACTCTTACCTTGTTTTCCTGAATATGGGAGTTTAATGCTTCTTTACTTGCACATTTGTAGTCATTACTATTCAAAATCTTTTCTTTTCCATAAGACAACAGGTCAGTTACCCCACACAACACTGAGTCAACCTGTGACTTGGCAATGGCCGTACCACTATGTTCATCCTGTTTTACTTTGAGGAGACTCCATGTCTCATCCAGGACATCCTAGAAAAGATACAAATATAAGTGATTCTGCAGCTGGAATATGTAATGTTTCATTCTTAGGATGTTACTGATAGAATTTGTGCTACAACATTGATTCATGTACCATTGGAGCAGCTACAAGACATCACATACTCTGCATGCCTTCTCCTCAAAAGACTTGCGCTACGTTCTGGCAGAATCTGAACTGTAAGGCCTCATTCACACAGCTAAGTGTCGGCCCGTACAGATACGTACGGCGTGTACGTCCGTATCGGGCCGTTCCTGGGAAGGACAGGAGCGCTCAACCGAGGTGCATGGATCCTGCCTGCGCTTGAGCACAGACACCCACACGGATGTGCAGTTCGGGTAAGCGTACGCCCGCGTACCCACATAGAGACGAACTGGCTGCTGCGTACAATCACACGCAGCACATGTCCTTCCCGGGAAAGGCCCGATACGGCCGTGCACGTTGCATGGATCTGTGCGGGCCGACAGTTGTGTGAATGAAGCCTAAGTATCAGTGTCACAGTATCACAGGTTTCCTTGTGAGTGTCATTTCCACCACAGCATAGTAATACAGTTACATAGTTATACTAAAAAAAGATCAATTTTAAATATTAATTAAATACCAATTCAAGATCTCTTAACCTCAAGTTGATCCAGAGTAAGTAATACTGGCCATTCACCAGCAGATTTTAATTTGAAAAAAAAAATTGTTTTTGGAACTTTAGTTTTATTTTCTAATAGTTAAAAGGGTGAATGTTCTTGACCATAGTGACATAAAAAAAAATTAAGGAGCAGGAAGGAAATTGTTTCTTGAATGAAAGAAATTCTAACAAAGAATGTGCTTTTCATTTGGGAAAACTCCATTCATTACAAAACTGAGTGTTAAAATCAAAGAACATTTCAAACATCATTCTTTAAGTCTCTGAGGGCATTACTGAATGTTCTGACATGAATTATTGTACGAAAATCTAACGTGTATAGCCAGATAAAGAGCAAGAAACCCCTAAAAACCACAATTGAATAAGATGTCACAGAGAAAAAAAAATCCTATTCCCTAAATTCACTTACATTTAGGGATAAATATTGCTCTACTCTGCATCCTTTATAATTTCAGGGCATCCTTTCGTGAGAACTGGAGCCCAACACTCAACACTCAGCCCAAAAGTGCAGCACATTTTATAATGGGAGGCCATAGTTCTACTATAATGGTGTATTATCATTTTGAATGTGGACTTAAGACGAGACATGGGTGTTGGGTATCTATTCTTGGCAGAGACTTAGACTGGCACACACGTTTCACTGTGCAATGTAAACATCCTCAAGAGGAAATGGAGTTCCACATTAATTAATAACAGACATCCCCACTATCTCTGCTATCCCGGTAACAAAATACTAACCTGCAGCTTGTGAATTTCTTGGTTAGAAGATACAGGAATTGATATTTTTTCCCCATTCTCGGTCAGCACAGACACTTGACTTTCGAAGTTTTGAAGTTCTGTCTCATATACAGCAGATTCCTGAGACACAAATATAAAAAAACACAATTACTAGAACTAAATGGCATAAGTGTATCTTGTTCTAATAACTGGACAATGGCTTTTTTTGCATGAGGAAACAAGCATTGTAACAAAGTGAAATCCAAAGTGTTTTATTCAAACAGAATGTCACATAACTAATTCTAAGGTGATTCAATACAGTTGGTAAAGTAAACTTGGGTTGTAAGCACTTTACTAGCTTGTTATTCTAGAGGGGCTGTGGCCCATCTTCAGTGAATATATGAGTTGTTATAATGTTTACCTAAAATGAGCTTTAGATGTGACTTTCATTTTTTTCAGGTGTGCTGTCAGCCCAATAAAAATGCATAGGCGGCCTTAATTACCAACTTTAATAATTGCAGGTAAAAGCACATACAAAACAAAAGTATTTTAAATGCTTACTTGCACTGTTTTCCCTTTACAGAAATTATTATTAATTCAGTTGCTATGTGCCTTTGAACCTGCTAGGGAATCTGAGCATGTCAGTTCCTTAGCACAACCCCCTGCCTTGAATGTCATAGCTCTTTTCTCCT